AGAGTAATTATTTTATTTAGTTGGAGGGGAGGGAAACTTGATACCGGAGAAGATCAATCAGGGGAACACAAGCGCGTTGCTGCATTGAATTATTGCGGATAAGAAGCTGTGCATGTAACTTTTCTGGTCCAATTTATTATTTTATCTTCTGCTACTGCTGCTGCTGGTGAGTGTTGGGATTGGATAGGCGGATCAACGGCACGTGCACTGCCTTGTGCCGAACGACGCCAAATGAATGGATGGTCGTTCATTAAAAATCCGTGTTGTGACCACAACCACGCAATGAACTAAAGCTACGTATAGCTGCGAAAACATTGTTACTTGGTTCCGTCTCAATTATTTCCAAAGTTATTGCTCCCGACTGGCTCACGATAAAGCCAGCGAGTCAAACGCCCGAATCAAACTAATCAATCAAATGTGTTTTAAAGAGATATTGTGCATGCATACGACTAATAAACCCACTATTTACGTCTCTATGTGATTGCGTGGTACAGAAAATTGCTATTAATAGAAAAAATATATAATATTAGGGCAATATTTGTTAGGTGGTGAGATTTAAGTTCCTCGTACTCGTACATACACTGAAACATATAAATGTATGTAATACATATTAGCAAGAGTCACTACTATTCATTAGATTTATGTACGTGTGTCATTATAATTATGTCGGTTAATTTATTTGATATATATATATTTATCTTGGGAATTAGTTTGTTATATTGATACCATAAATGCATGTATAATACATACATCTCACAAGAAAAATTTGTCATTGATATCCCACGGTGCAGGTGCTGGATGAAAAAATAAGTCTTAAAGAAGAAGCCACTGTTGCGTTTTCTGGGGTTGAGCTGTATCCAAGTCGAATTATTTGAATTGAGCCAGTGAAATAAAATTATTACTCGAATTTCTCTTCATCCAACTTTTGATTGTGTGTTGTACGTAACATTTTCTTGGCCACTCTTCCGTTTTATCCCCTTTCATGCAATAAAATAAATGTACCAATTTTATTACCACTTGCAGGCCACAAAAGTCGACCACCATTCTTTTCAGTAGCTCCCTCCTAACAATGAGTGAAAATAAATATATGACCAAAAAGGTAAAAATGGAGTTGGATTGTTGTGGGTCTACCCTTCCTTCAGGACAATTTGTCTCCTTCAATGCAACTGATGTACACACAACTCGAGGGTATAAGAAAAGCTTTTCTGTACTAAGAGCCCAGTAAAGCCCAGAGATCTGTAAAACGTGTCACATACTCAGAGTCTCATAAGAGCATCCTCACGATTGAGAATTTCTTACATGAACTTTAATTCACGAATTTTCCAATTGAAAGAGGTTGTGATGCAGGAAGTTGTAAGTCGGGGTAAATGGGAACAAAAAGGATGATCTCGTTAATGTTTCTTGTACATCCGTGTGAAAATTTGTAAAAAGTTATTAAATAAGAGGACCACCAAAATTTATTGCAACTGGAGCATTTTTGTGTTGACTCGACTCTCCTTTATGCTCAATGATTTCCTTTTCAATATCTTTCTTGAGAAGACGAGGAAGCACCAAAAAAATAAACAAGGATGCAGTCCAACCAACTGGACAATTGTACCAAATGACAAATATTCTCACATATTGCGACACATGTATTATATATCTTTCTTCAAGATTTCTCGTATCCGGATCACGATTTGTTATTTGATTCCGAAAGTGTGAGAATATTATATTCATTTGTGCTTCAATATATTTAAGGGCGTACATATGTACATATTTATTTTCATGAAGAAATGGACAGAGTGGATTGTATTTAAACAAGTCTGTTACGGTGGTCTTTTTTCGTGGATATTACTTTGCTCTTTCTATCTATTAGACTGATTTTTTTGAAGCCGAAGGGCCAATTTTATTTGTATAATGTTTGATTGACATTGACTACAGTGGAACCCAGATTAATATGTTTTCCACCGTTTTTGTCACATTTTAACCAGCATTTGGAAACAACAACTGGAAATATGGCTATACATACATATGCATATACTGGATCTGTAAATCTGTGGGTCTGCATTGCTCAGTTTGAACAATAATACAAACAAAGTCTTTTGAGCTTGACCCAAAGTCGGCGGCGTTCAACAAACCATCTGAGAATGACAAAGAACGCAATTGCCACATTATTTTCCCAACATTTGCATTGCATTTATAGAGAAAGCGGTCGAGGGGCGCGCTTACTTGGCACTCTTTCCAAAATATGTCCACACTGTTTGATGCGAATAGAAGCTTTTCCGACAAAAGAGCGACGGAACGATTCTGTCACAATTCTGTCGTTGATTTTCCCGTTAAAGATCTGCAAGAAGCCAAATGAATCGTCACGTCGCGATGATTGACGAAAGTCTTTGGTGAGACTGGTGGTGGTCCGGTTGACAATTTCATTCACGGATTTCGGGAGGGCATGGCCTTGTCACACCTTACTTACAATTACAAATACCACGGATATTAACCGCAAGAAGAGGAGAGCAATCTGGCTCAGTTCTTGTCATTGAACAGGCGGAGAAAATTTGTCAGAATGAAATAAACACAATAAAATGCAATTCCATTATTGCGATTGTATATTAAATATTATTATTCAGGGAGGAACTTGCCCCACAACTGTGTAGGGCATGGTATTTAGCTGCACTGTTAATTGAATTATTATGTGGTGGGGTGGAATAGGGAAATACTTATTTGACAAACAAGTCCTGGTATTGCCTCCAACGCTTGCAATGAGTTGTTGCAACGTTGATTGACATCTTGGTTGGAATTGAATACAGCATTGACGAATTGATCCTTTCATTGGGTTCTGGTCCCCGCCCAAGAAATTATTGGAGAAATAATGACTATTCAATTGCTGACAGATTGCCTTTTGTCCTGCGATATGCCATAAATATGTAGCACGACGCCCTGGGATAAAATGTGAATGGATGTTTCAAAAGTTGGTCAAATTGTATCTGAAGAAATGCACATATGAGGCAAATAGATACATGTGCATCTAGATACATACGTGGGTACCACTGACGTAGGAGAAATCTTTATTTCTGGGGCTCATATTTCAATTCAAATTGTGACAAAAAAAGAATCTCAAATGAAATTTAATCAAGCGTTCGAGTAAAACGAGACTATTTAGCTTTGGGTTATTTGCCAGTAAACGACACCAGATCTGAGGGGAAGCCTTCAACTTAACACTTGATTTTATTTAAGTTTACTCAACTAACTGGAGCTCAAATGATTTTTAATGGGCATTTGCACTCTTGTGGTTGTTTGATTTGATTCGATTTTGATTTCCGTTCCCCCAATGGTTACACAAGCGTTGTGAATTCTGTTGGTGCAGGAGACAACAGTGTGACGCTGGCAAAGGGGAGTTTGTACTGGATGCAAAAGTAAGCACACATAAACTCTTCTGTATTGCGTTATATTGTATAAAAGGCTGGATCCGAAATGGTGACAGGGGTGCAGAAGAGCAGAGCGGCGTTTGTTTTCTGTGCAAATACTTCATGGACGAAATCACACGCAAAGCTGACACGGCTGGGTGTGGATTTTAAATGGGGAAATCGACAAGTGTTTTTTAGCCCGAAAGAGCTTTCACTTTTTTGTTCCATACATAATAAATCAGTCGGCTTGGTATTTCCTCTCTACGTACGCATTTGCACCTATTTATAAATATATGTATGATGCGAGGGGTAATAAGTCCATGCGCCTCATCATCAGTATCGTTAACCCAGGGCGAGAATTTCTATGAGCAGCAAGCTCGATACCAAATGTGGTCACTTTATTCTCAGTAACACTATGCACACCAAAGAACGATGAGGGTGGTGACAGTGACGATAAGTAACATGGCAGCTTGCTGACTATGGTTCTCTTCCTCTCATTCCAAAGTATTGTTACAGATTGTTAAGTGTCCCTTTGGGAATTTGAACACTTGCTGAATTGGTGATCGGAAATAATGTGAAATAAATGGACTTATTTTCTATCTTCCTTGCCTTCCTATTCTAAAACAGCATTTTAATTATTTCCGCTCAGTTGCCCCTTTATTATTCGTGCTTTGTCATAATGTATTTATCAGTATTTCAAGTTCCAAGATGTTAAATAATTTGAAATTGGAACAGATTTGAATCTGAAATGAAATCAATCCCTCTCGCTAATTCCCTGATTCATTCAACTCAGATTCACTTGAAAGTAGAACATAGTGCTAACTCGTTTGAAGAAATTGACATTTTTCAAGTATTCTTGACGTTATTTTTTCAAGGGAAAACTCTGGCTGGACGGAGCTTTTGTTCCCTGCTATACTTTTTTTATTTTGGGCAATGATATGTGTTCTTAAAGTGAGCGAATGAGAAAAAAGGGTTGAGCTGAACCCCAGGACTTAGAAAATATATTTTCATGTCACCCATTCCCTGATGAAAAATGTAGCTTGGAGCTGCAGGATGTGATGATATTATATAGTTTGCTTTACAGTTACTCGGGCGGAGATTGAATTGAATGTTGTGTCAAATCTCCGAAAAATCCCTTCCGCCTTCTGCCTGTGATTGTGGTTGGCGTCATCCTCTCCGGTCTTGAAGATGTTCAGGATTTGTCAGAGCCAGCTTTTATATAAATAAGGCCACAGTTGGTAAAAACTGTACAATGTGAATGTGAGGCTGCTGAGCTTATTATGCATCCACGCATACATAAATCCCGAGCGAGATGTTTTAAGAAAATCGCAACATTTACAAGATTTGTTGGTGGGATTGTAAAAACTGAGTGAGGAGTTTGCATACTGGTAATGTAATCTGTTTCAGGTCTAGGATTTGGATATGATGATACATCTTTGTTTTTGTCAGCGCATTATGATTTATTTTCTTGTGGAGAACAACAACTTGTGATGCAGATGTATGTATGTAGCTGGGATGACAATATAGCATGCCACGTACTTATCCTTAGGATGAGTATAAGCGAGTCATACGCAGCAACTTTTACATAGGAAATAATAAGTTTGACGAAAACAAAAGTGCGAGATTTTTCTTTGATTTTATTCAGATTTAGAGATGATAACACATCAAATTTAACTATTGCACAAACACTCAAAGTATATAGTCAGACATTAAAAATGGCTAAACTAAGATACTGAAATATATATGTATGTGAATATATACGGCTAAAATTCATCTAACAAACTATTTAGTAAGGAACCTACCTACGAAATAGACAAATAATTATGCATACACGCAGAACGGGGAAAAAATTAATCCAAATCAGGAGGGAAAGAAATTGAGCAGGGTAAAAATCTACAAAGGAACTCAAGTCAAAGTCAAATGAATGGATGAATTATTAGGATTCTTGTACAACTAATAAAGAAAAACGCTTATATTTTGTGTTTGTTTTCGAAATGTTTTATGAAATTTTTATGTGGAACGCTTAGAACCTATAGTAAATAAATACTCGAGATATTTTTTTTTGAAATTTTAAAAATATGTGAAATATAAATTCCAAGTGATATGACATCGCCGGAAATGTAAATCAATTTGAGAAATCTTAAGAATTTCTTTCGAATATAAGCTTGTGTCCACCCCATTCAGTAAAAAATGTTTTTTTTTTACAAATACATACCAATAACAAACTTGGGAGGTTAAATAAATAGTACCAGTCAGAAAATAAGGTAACTCAGGATTGTACTGAAAGTTTGATTGAGTTTATGAGCTCATTAATTAAATTGTTCATTACACGGAGGAGCAACTTCTCTAAATGTTTGCTGCTCACTTGGAATAAGTTTCATTCAACTTTTCTTCTATATCGCAACTTTCCCCAACTTTTCGTATGAATTGCAGTATTTGTCACCCTCGACTTATTTACAGCACATCTAACTAAATTCAATCCATAACTTGTGTGCATCTCCTCATAAAATTAATATACATACAACAACACGCTCCTCGATCTTCTAATAATAACTCTGGCTATAAAATATGTACTACTGCTACTCCTTCCATTCCTGATTAACTTTTCCTCCATATTCCTAACATATTTACTCCTGTACGTCATACTCTATACTTAGAATAGCGAGATACTTGCTAAATAGTTACTAAATATTGGTAAATACACCTACTTATTTATACCTTTCTATTCATTCGTGCGACGACTTTCTGAATCAATAGATACAACTTAATCGCTACGAGGAATCTAGCCTATATAACACAGAGGCAGCCAGACAGAACTTTAATTAATGTCGTCTGTCTGATGATGATGAGGGCAAATAGACTTACACACTTTCCCCATCGTCTCCATCTCATCCTCGCCTGTCAAATTTTTACAGAATTTGATACTTTTCAGTCATACCTGCCCCATACGAGTCTGGGATGATGTACTCATTCCCAGTCTTGGCACTGGCGAATTGGTGCTGTGGGTGGGAGTGGGTTGAGGAAATGGTAGCATAGGCATTTGCCATTTGATGCTGTCCAAAGTGATGGTGGTGACTTGGGGCAAAGTATTCCATGTTGGTGTAGTATGGCGCATAAGTGTACCCTTGATGATGGGATGCTGCAGTGGCGTTCTTGTAATTAGAGTAAGTCATTGCTGGAGAGCTACGCTGAACTCCGGAAACCCCGTTGTGAAAGTCAGCAATGGGTGTGTGCCAGGGGAAGCCGGTGGGGGTTGAGGAAACACCGCCGTAATGCTGGTCCAACATGGAGGGGGGGCTAATTTGTCCTTGACTATGTCCACCTGGAGTTCCATAAATCCCACCATTTCCGGAAATGTGGGAAGGAGATCCGTCTCCCATGGAGGAGTGATGTGAGGACCCTGGGGGACTACTTGTGCTTGGGGAGATGGACTGCTTATTAATGGAGTACATTTTGGAGTAAGGTAGTGGAGATGCAGAGTTGTTGTCCATTCCTTTATTGTGGTGTTGCTGGTGATGATTGTCCCCTCCAGAAGAAGAAGAGTTGAGACCAGAGGAAATTGCAGCGAGGTGTTGGGCTTGTTGATGTGCCAGACTTAGTCCGATCGGGGAATGCGAATGGGCACCACTAATTACTGCTCCAGACGACCCATTAATATTATTACTATTATTGTTGTTGTTGTTGTTGGAAGGTGTCGAAGAAGAGTTGAGATTGGAATGTGATAAGGCTCCTCCTTGGCCCGGACTTGGTGGACATTTTGACTTGGCTGTGCGACCTCGTTTACCTGGGACGATGGGACTCGGATTAGGATTAGCTGTGGCATTCTGTTGCTGCTGGAGTTGCTGCCGGACCTAGGATTTTATAGTATTGTTATGCACATATTAGTAAAGCTACTCAAAATTGCATCAAGTATCATTAACTGCTAGGGAACTGTTGAAAAAAATTACCTTAGCACGACGATTTTTGAACCAAACCTAAAAATAGAATTACACTGTCAAAATTCCAACCGGACATTTGGTAAATAAAGCATTCGCATTCCAGTATAAAACCTTTTAGAAGCAAAGCAAAATGGGAAAAACAAACAAAATTAAGCAAACATAGGGACATTGTATAGAAAGCGAGCTGAACGAGAGTCATTTTCAAACTGAATGTCATTTTTCGTCCTTCGGTTAAAGTAAACTCTAAAAATTAGGGCCGGGGTGGTAATGATACGTGCCCAAGAGTGACAATTAGATGATTTAATCCAATACAAGGTTGACGAAATGATGATGGATGATCAAACGACTTTCATTATTTCATCTCACTCTCTCCTCCCGAACTGCTCCTGCTTTCTCCATCCAATCAAACCCACACCAGCCATCCGGCTCTTGGCAACATTGTCGTCATCAGAATCATCAGCATCACTCCCTCCAGCTCTTGACTTAGGAGCCACGGCTTATTAACGGTATAGGAGAATGTATATGCATGTATATGCACCTATGTCAAATAGCAGGAAAATGCTACCAAGCCATTATTTCCCAACGAGAGAGTGGCATTTCGCTCCGATATCAGCATCGGCACAGGCACAGAAATGTCAACTTGAGAGAAACTCGATGAAGATTTCTGCACGCACTCGTCGACTAAATTTATCGAACCGGATACAGCTACAAATAAATCAAAACAAGAGCAGAGTACGTGGAACGGAGGGCAATTGGTAAATATTACTATGTCCCCGGGGTTCTCAATGGATAGGAAATTTTATAGTCGACAAAAGTAGTTTCAAGTTGACATCTCCGCACATCCATAACCCCACATTTGTACCCCCGAGGTTGGAATTGTATCACCGCTCCTGGTGAGCATGGTGTTGTTGTTGGAAAGCTAATCTTTGGTGAGAGGAAGAGCACGACGCTCAAAGGAGAGTGAGAGATGAAGAAATCGAGGAGTCTGAAACCAAAATAGGAATCAGAAGAAACGACACCATTATCTCCTCTTCAGTCCTCGAGCCAAATCACATCAACTGAATTAACTTTCGCAATTCAATTTCCAACACCGGTTAGCTCCCCTCCTCCCAACCTCACATCTCCCATAGGCGTACGTACGACGAGGGTAGCATGTACGTACATATTTACTATAGAACCAAACTGAAATTGATGAATTTGGCAAAACATCATCCGCCTTACGAAGATCCCATTTTCTACAGAATTCAATCCATCAGTAACTAATAATCGAGGCGGCTCAATATTGCAAGAAAATAAAATTGTAGAAAATTCACTAGGAAAAGTGCAACTAGGAAAAGTGTACTTCACCGTGTAGCCCCAAGTCTATGAAAGCGGAAGAACTACTACGACTACTACAATAACAATAACCTATACCATTATCAACCAAGGCTGCTATGCTATCCTCGTCGTAGTCGTCAACCAACAAGAAATTCTCTGGGAGAAGAAGACCCTTCTTCTTCGTCTTCAACTCCTCTAAACGCATTTCCATGTGCCGTAAGGATTAAATTTGTTCCGTCTCTCTCTCCCCTCGCTGTGACTGAATCAGCTCTTTTCAACCAACTCCCTTCCTCCTCTTCCTACCCACTAGGTTCGCAAAACTAGTAAAATAAAATAAACGACTTCACTTCATCTTGTGTATCTATCTTGTCTCCTCCGCTTTCACTCAACTCCAACGATACGAGAAACGCCATTTGTTTAGGAACCTAACAAAAAATTCCTAACCAGCCACACCCCATCCTTCTTAGATATTTTTAGTATTCGACAATTATTAACACTTGAAGAATCAAGTCTAAATCAAAGAAAACTGAGTCATCTTCTGTACGCCGGACATATTTATATATGATTTTTTTCAACCCATCAGAATTAAGTCAACCATTAATTTACAATGTAATGGATATGGTGGGAAAATCATTGTTAATTTGAACAAAAAAGTAAATTCAGCCATGTGAAGCAATTGGTCGCATCTCCGTGAAATCCGATCTTGCTTTTCCCTTTTTATTGGATGGGTGGAGAAAGCCAATGTTAAAGACTGATTTGAGTTTATCCCTCAATCAAACACGACAAAGGAAACTACAATGTGGATGCTGTTAAGTGTTTCATAAATATTTTGTATACGTAGGTATGTATGGCGTTACTTTATACATGGCGGAGAAATCCAATATTGTATCAATCTATGAAGTGTCAAAGAATTGAATGATAATATCTGGATATTGTCATGTAAAATTTCAGAATGAAATGAGATCTAACCATCTCCCACAAAATAATCTGTCCATGTCCGTTTTTATATACCTTTTAAAATCTTTATCAATCATCACTTTCCCATTTTTCACCGTGAGAAAAGACATTTGCAGATTGGCAACATCTCCAAGATTTCGGCCCCAAATCCTTTACTCCGAACCGAAAACTTGGTACTTATCTTTCTTTCCTGGGAATTTCAACATTGAATGAAAACAAGCCTCAACGCAGTCACCAAAAGATTTGACAAGAGAAAACTAAATTCGGCTCCAGTTTACTTATCCTCCTTAATTCCCTTCAATCCATATACCGCTATACGTGTGCTTTGTATAAGAATGAGGAAAGTTGGGATGCTCAAGAAGGACGCCGACGAAATCATTCACACACATCCATACATTCCCAACAAACCAACCACTTTATAACGAGTCAAGAGTGATGATGAGACCAAAGAAGACTGCGACGATGATGGTTGGTAGCCGGACAACTGTTAATACATACACTTCACTAATACTTCGTAATGAGTTAGTCACTGACGACGACTTGACTAGAATCCGTCAAGTGTGATGCTATGCTGGAAGGATGGATCCAAGACGATCTGATCTCCAGGCTTAGCAAAGTTTCTCTCAGCATTTAACTTAAGTAAGATGAGAATATCCCTACTTAACTTCGTTTGAAATCAGGTGGGAGGACTTATGCAGCCCCGGCAACTAACTTATCCAGCCAGGGAGAAAGATAAGATGGGTAAAACGAAAGTGACAGATTTCTAATGGGAAGGAAAAGAAGCAGGGAGGAGATTTTACAAAATTAGAAAACTTGTGCATTACCTGAACACGCGATTCGGGCAAGTTGATCTTCATTGCAACTTCTTCCCTCATGAAAATGTCTGTTCGGAAAGTAATATTTCCATATTATACATAAAGTTCTTTAAAATGTATCAGTCATTTTCATAATGAGTACAGTCATTGTGTTTTTACCTGGATATCGGGTGCTAGTGAAAAGCTTTTCTAGGATGTCCAATTGTGCTCGGGTGAAAGTGGTTCGTTCCCTTCGCTGCTTCCTCGCATTGCCCCCACCTTGAAGATAAAGATCTATTTTGCATTAATAAATTATTTTCATCAGAATCTAAATATTTTCCTACTCATTAAGGAAGGTGTGAGTGAGAGAGGAAGTATTATGCAGAGGAAAATATATATGTACATATGTATGTGAATACCTGGACCGAAGCCGACGGGGGGGACGGGATCCATCCCCATGCCAAAGCCTAGCCCATTCATGCCTGGGTATGAGGATTTGAGATAAGCCATTGCAGAGAGACCGACGGGAGTGGTTCCTGTTCCGCTCGAGGAGGATCCACGAGAGGGAGGAGGGCTGGGGAACGGCGTTGGAAGGAAGTGGGACGGGAATGATCGTGGGTAATCCAGGATTGGAGATTTCGCCCGTGTGGCTTCGTCGACGAGTCAAAAAGTTATTGCGAGGAACGAGTATAAATTACAGATCTTGCTGTACGGGCACTACAGACTTTACACTGCACACGACGTAACGCGAATGCGATAAGTTATTGACGCCGTGGAACAACACTGTTGATTGATTCCAAAGAAAGTCTCATTCAAAACGCACAACTGTCACTCTTCTTTATTTATAAGGGTATATTTACGCCAACGATTTTCCCTTCCTTCCGGCTATGACAAGAGTCAGTGAGAGAACTTATTTGGAAAGAAAGCTCCGGAAATTACCTGAAATTATAATGAGATGTTCCTATGTAAAATAGTAAATTTGTTAAAATAGGGTGTACATCCGTGATACCGCAATACGTAAAACCTTCATAGTTCAGCTAGAGCTGAAAATAAATACTATTGGATGCTTAATTCGTTCGTATGTGCTACAACAATCATTACAAAAGCAATGGCCATATCAATCGGGATGTAGTAGCTTATCTACCTACATATCTACATAAAAGATTATGTATGTAATTATGATTACGACCGTAATTTTGGGAAAACCTAATAAAATATTGCTATTTTAAATATGAGATATTGAGTCCTACCGGAAAGGAGACTATACAAGTTGAGACTATCTAAGCTTTAATAAAATTGATGCTTGTAAACGATTGGCTTAATTGTATTATGTAAACACAAGTATTACAGCTTACCGTTTTAACCCAACGACAACAAGTGTGCAAATAGAGGAGTTGAATGGAGGAACTAAATGAGATTTGCTTAATCTCAAAGACTTAAGCGACTTAGGCAGTGGGAGAGAGAGAGACAAGAAAAAAATGTGTTTCTTGGTCAATCGCTGGCAGTAGAATAAGTGGTATCAAGGAAAAGAGGCAACATTTACTACACAAACCTCTTCTTCACCAACCAACCAACAATCCCAAAATCTTAGGATTTAAGTTATACTAAAACTACTCTCCACAAACTATTATTATTACAACCAATACTTGGAAAGCAAAACTAACCGATGGACACATTATTATTGCTATGAGCATACACGTCGTATGTGTCGAAGTTCTGGGTGACGACAGGATAAGGACACAATGAATTACACGGCAAGATAGGAAATTCAGGAGGATTGGGGTTCGAAGAGAAGATGACCCTAAACCCTAACAACCCGGAGCTAAAAAGAAGTTGCTACCTGTGGAATGGTAAATGTCGTGTATTGATGGACCCCTTGCAGGAGTTTGTAAGTATTCACTGATGGTGAGAAATGCCAGTTTATGTGTCAAAAAGTGCTTTTTAGAAATGCCCATCGAACTAGGACATTTACATATGCCATACACTACATACATAAATGTTTCACCAAATTCACATCCCAACAAATGAGTTTAAAAAATCTACAATTTACATAGTCCAAGTAATGAGTATACTAATTAAATTAAACCCTCGAAGGTTGGCTAACCATATTTTTAGTTTAACACTCGGCCAATTTAGAATTTCCGAGAAAATAAAAGCACCAAGACTGACCTAATTGCAGAGGTTACTCAAGTTAAGGTCTCCAGGCTTTCAATAGCACGAATTTAAGTAGAAATAAAGCTATTGGTATTTATAGTTTGATATTTTGTCAGCTAGGGCCATGCAAATGTAATACTTGGTCTCTTATTGACTGATATATATGATGGATGCATATTTACGTTGGGCTCCCAAAACCCACCACCAGATCTATCTATTCAAAAGGGATTAAATTTTGTTGACTGACGCTTAAAAAATAAACTTGTATTTTTTAGCTGGATGGAAACGCAACGGTGTTCCGTTGGGTATACGTACGAAATGCGGTTTATGATCCTATATGATTTTATACATATAGTAATGCAAAATGTGTGCATCTTGCTTTTCCAGACAGCTTCAGCTGGCATGCACAGTTGCTCTTTAAATTTTAAATGATACTTCTACAAACCTGGTAACAAATTCAGGGAGTGATGAAATGATACAATGGCAAACAATTAGATCCAAAGTTGAAAGACATCCAATCGCCTTATGAGAATTATAAGGCGATTCTCATACATTTCATTCTTTTGGTATGAAATGGTGTTCGTGTTATCACTGCTCTTCTGGTAAAATATTGTACATACGCTATGGAAGTCAACAACTTCTGCTACAAGAGCATGTCATCTGTCCTTCCTTGCAATAAAAAATGGGATTGTGGCCAAAGGGTTGGAAAACAAAATAAAGATGACGGTCAGGCAGCATCATCGTATTCATCTCATTTCGTGAGCAGGAGGAAGGCAAAAAAGAAGGCGTTGTGTGAAGCCAAGGTGGGCCAATGTGGTCGACGAGAGGTGGTGCAACCAGAATCACAGCAAACCAACGGCAAACGGAAGACCGATGGACTGGACAAATTGGCAGAATTTGTATGATTTCCAGTAAAGAGGAATATTTCCAGTGATGAGTAATATTTCAGAAATGTTGAGGGATTGTCCATTAGCCATACCATAATATCTAATAAAGTCAGAGCACGATCAAAATTCCAAGTATTAGAAAGTTTGTGTGCATCACCTAACCAGTGCTCCTCAATGTTGGGATATTGTTAATTTAAGTATGTTCTAATTATAATTAAGTCAATATTGAAGTAAATGTACGGTTATGACTCAGGCACAGAAAATGAAGGCATATATACGAATGAATCATCATCAGACAACATGAAAGTTGGACATATGTATTTGACGATACATATATTTATTTAAGTACGTATGAATTTTGATACACAAAATCACATGCATTTTCTCGCAAGTCTCAGAAGAGGGAAAACACATTTTGCAAAGTAAAAGGAGACAGAACCTTTTAGAGCAAGTCAGCTCAGTCCGGGAGAAGATTGGCGAGATGGAAAAAGTGAAATGCTTTAATGGAGAATCCATCAAAGGAAGTAAATTATTAACGATACACCACTCCATTCAACCAGCTAGAGAAAGAGAGAGATGACAGGAGTCGTCGTCGTCCATCGCTTCTTCGTCGTTCCCTATTATTATTCTTACGGAGAACAAGGACAAGACAAAGACAGTTAGCTGGCAGGTATTTGGCGTGGACAAGCATTTTATAATGCATTTGTTCTACTTAACTCACATTTTATTCTTCTTCTTGTTCAATTCTAAAATAAAGTGGTCTCTCTCCGACGACTCTGCGTATATTTTATGGACCATTCGCGTCCTATTATACTCCATCCATTTATGTACCCATGTAGATGCAACTCATGAAGCGATCTATGCTATGCTAGATGATTTTCAGCTGAACGAATCCTTATATTCCTTCTGCTGGTGCTGGAAATAATTCCATTTCTACTTTCAGGATTCTAATCCTTTGGGACTATCTTTTTCAGTCATCACTTCAATCATACTGAACATCACTCAACTCATAATAACTCGCATCACATTTTCCAACCTTCATTTCTGCTTACACGAAGCTATATGTAAGCATGCACTAGTTGAGTATGAAACACAAGAACAATGCAATCATAGAATGTCTCAAAACCTTTAACTTTGCTTATCTTTCTACACAAACAGTAAAGTGCAGATATTTTTGCGTTTCAAAAAACAAGCACGTTGCATTGTGTAGTTATTGTGCTATCTTATTTATTACTTATCTGTAAATATGTATTTCCTAACAAAATCTGCTAATCAATTATAACTGAAATCAAATTACAGCGAGACCTCATTGCAAATTTATGTATGTACGCTTCTTTGAATCCTACCAAGTATTTGGAACAAAAAAACGGCTAGCTCAACTGAACTAATGGTCCATTCCACTTCTTCAAGAGAAGAAGGACTAAAATGCCACCAAACTTTTTCAGTGGTAGTTGATGACATTGACAATTAGGAGTTAAATAGAATAGTTCCACTCGTTGAGGATGGAATAACCTTTGAAGTCGTCCAACCGTTTGAATAAATGCAACATTCCCATCCTAAGACAGAAAAAATGCTAGAAAAATGTTCTTTTAAATATTTTAATTTTTTATAATTTTGATGTTGCAGTTTTGCAAGTGCAATTTAAGGCACTTTTCTACTTGGCCACTTGACTCGTTGTTAGTAGTGGCTTACTAAAATGCAATCCACTTGAGGAATTGCATGCTAAACAACTATATACTTTGTGAGCAAATTGAAAAATTGGTAGTTCTTCAAATTGCTAGGCAAGCGTTACTCTCATAAAAGAAATTGGAAAAATGCTGGGGTTTGGTTCTATTACATATGTACGCAGCTTATACGCCACACCACACAGATAGGTTTAATGAGGGGTTGCATATAGTGGATGGGATTACAACATGTAATTTCAACGTAAAAATTATCATTAAAAATAAGTTTCTATATGTACATAGCTTTGCGGATCGTCTTTCAGATCTAGAAATTTAACCTGCGCACATATTTTGACATGACGTCGCAATGTTTTTCATTACCAAAAGAGGTGGGTGTGGTGCGTCCCTCCTTTTAATGGTATCTCTCATCTGGTCTCAGACGGAACCTTCCCCTCACACTAAATCTTACCACACACAAACCAAATACAAAGTCATTTGGAGGAAAATAAAATGAACACAACCAGCACCTCGAAGGTCCAAATTATGTATTTTATTGCCCATTTGTGTACAGGTTGAATCACAGGATCCATCCCGTGTGGATTTATGTTATTGCTGTCTTTGTACGTGTGTAGACATTATTATTATTGAATGCTTGAGACGTTGGACCTTTGGCTGAGAGGAAAAACTTTATCATTTGGGAAAAGATGGTTACATCGCCGGTCTCTTTGTGGGCAGACCTCATTAACACTGCAGAGGTCATAATGGAAACGATTTACCTATTTTAATGACTACTTGAACATCATAATTAATAAACAGAAACAACTCAAATATTCGGAATTCTGATTTTAGGATGAACATTGGAGCGTAGCTTAACTAAATTTTTCAAAGTTGGAATATACACAAATGCATGTACTCGACAATTTAAATGTGTTAATCCAAACGATTCAAATATTTCATAAAGTTTTTTGAAAATATCTTAAATCACTTGAATTCTCCTTCACGCGTAAGATTTTCTGAATGCCCTTTCAAGTTTGTAGCTAAAATGCACACAGAAAGTCCTTGTTTAATTGAAGCCAAAAACTTGGAAATATTATTTTATTGTGTTTGACAGCATTCAGCCGTGAATAAACTTGTCAGGTTTTATAATGTTTTGCATATGACGAGTTAAGAAAACGACACGACACCTCTTCTTTATGTACATGATTATGATTAATGTTTCTCTTTTGATTAGTTCATGGGTTTTGTGTCAACATAATTAATTACGCTCTCATTAACGGTCCCTGTCTTAAAAAACGCTCTTATCCAACACAGCTTGTGAGCATATCAAATTAGTGTAAAAGATGATTCACGCTCCATACTTTAAACTGTCATTTAACTGCTAACTAAAAAATACAAACTTGTCAAACAATATCCATCCAAGTATCCCACAATAACATGATACATGTACATACATACACACGCGAGGCTCTAATAATGAAACGATATGGTCAAGAATGAAAACGAATCTTCTGATGATTCACTGTCCCGTTCTGTTTAAACTCTGTTTACGCTTTGAATAAGTAATCTAATCTGGATGATAATCAGATTTTAAGTAAACCTTGGAAGAAAAGATAAGTTCTTTTTTTAAAAAAGTGCTAACAATGCGATGGTGTGAAGTGTAACCCTCCGATTTGGCTTAAATTTTAAAATTAGGTGGTCCAAGCCAATACAACTAACGTTTCTTCAGGTAGTTTGTGCGATGGTGAGAGTTACTCAAAATATTTGAGGTCAAAGTTCAAAAAACGGCCGACTTTTTTCAGGCGGAGTGAGAAAACTCCACTTCCAGTCTCTTCCCCTCGCTTTGATTTTCACTCCGAAAAATAATTCATTTCAACAATTTTAAATTTAATTTTTTTTTGTAGAAAAATATTAATTATTCATTGTACATGTGACCATATGATTATTTTCATAAAAGTCCACAAAACAATACGATAAACTGCACCAGCTGAATTTGATGAATGTGGGATTGCCACAATTCAGGTCGCAACTAATATTTTTTTTCTCTAAAACAAACGTCGTTTACATTTTTAAACTCGGGCTTTTCGTCATCACCCCATAATCCGCTCGAGTACCAACAATATCGAATCATTGGAACAAACACAGGAGCACTTAAAATATAAATTAATTGAATATTAGAATAACCAACGCGTTCGAAATGGAAAGCAAGTTAAGTTTTTCCATGTTTATTTGCCGTTGGCGAATTTATAAATTAACTTTTATGTAAATTTGTACTAGAAATAAGTAAAAATCGCACTTATTTAATTATGAATTAAATTATGTATAATGCGTATTAATTGCTTTTTAAGCTGTAGTTAATAATGTTTATTTTTTATTATTTTGCATCAAAGCCTGTGCTTGTGCATGAAGGCGTATGCGTGAGCGAGACACCTGCAAATCAAAGCGAGGGGAAGAGACTGGAAGTGGAGTTTTCTCACTCCGCCTGAAAAAAGTCGGCCGTTTTTTGAACTTTGACCTCAAATATTTTGAGTAACTCTCACCATCGCACAAACTGCCTGAAGAAACGTTAGTTGTATTGGCTTGGACCACCTAATTTTAAAATTTAAGCCAAATCGGAGGGTTACACTTCACACCATCGCATTGTAAGTAAAGGCGCTACTGATAAACGTATTAAAGGGCACTACTAAAGGGAAATAACTAAACGGAAATACACACATACATAGTTAGATATGTATTTATAAGAATCACACAACAAATACATTCGTTATCATCATTTTAGAAATATATAATATGCACAATTTAGCCGAATTAGATTTATTTACAATTTGGTGTGTCGCATTCTGCATGTCGTATCGCTAGCCTGAGGTTAATTGGTGGAATAAAAGCGTACCAAACAGACTTCATTTACCGCATCCGAGCCCATCCACTGGACAATTACAACAATTGAGTTGAAGCAGCAGGGTGATTTATGACAATCACATTTATACTTGCTCAACTTTTTCACAGACTGTGTCATCTTAAATTTACATGAACTGTGAACATTGAAACAAGACAGATTTTGTGTATGCATATATTGTTATGGTTGTTGTGTAGTTGCATTTTATGTAATAAACTTGACCAAACCTTGAATCGGGTCACTTATTTGTTGGATAAAATAATATATTTAAATGATAGTAGATTGGGAAATAAAGCGTAACATGCTTTCCTAGAATTGTAACAACACAATACACAAATAAACGACCAAGATTCAGCGGGTACACGAGTCCTATGTCTGCAATTTGTGCAGAATTCGAATGACCGAACGGGATTACCACACGCCTAAAAAATGCCTTAAAAGTGCATACATGAGTTCTTATTTGACATATATAGATATTTAAGAAAGTTAAAAAAACATTGGATCACAATTTCCGAAAATATGTATAAAATGAATTCCTTCCGAGACTTATTGAGGTTTTAAAACAGGCGTAATTTGTTAACCCTGATCCGGCTTAGCCCCTAACCCTTCATTATCTTCCTCCAAGCTATGTATATACCGACCTACCTATGCTACAAATATTACTACGTATGGATTATTACCTGCATCTTTTTTTCACTTTTCCTGAGCACATTTATTTTTACATTGCCGTATTAGAAGCCATTGGATCTTCTAAGAAATTACTGGATTTAAGTAGATTAGGTTTCACTAAGTTTGTGCTCATTGTATTGTCACAGTTTGAAAACGACGATATAAATCTTATAAGAACAAAACAAAGAAATCAATAATTTCCTTACCAAACCGTTCTGTCCAGAAAAAGAGGCGATTCCAGAAGCAGATCCATCAAAGGATGAATAGCAAGATTTGTCACTGAAATAAATTAAGATTCATACATAATTAATATGTTTTCATCAAGTACATTGACCCTTCAAAAAGTCAGACAATAAGAAAAATTAGACAAAACCTTATCATTTCACAGTTTTGCAGATAAGACAAGCGTATACAAACCAGCCTTCACTCTCTGCTCGGACTTCTCAACCTGCTGGTCCGATCAGAGGTTCAGCAGTCCGGGCAGAGAGTGAACACTGATACAAACTATTTATTCTATATTAAATACTATTAAATAGATAATAATGTATGTTAGAAACAATCACAAGCATTCATGTACGAAATGCATTGTACATTTGGGCAGAAGAAGAAAGAGCACCTTGTTCTCACCTTTGTCTCGCGAGGCTGTGAAGGAGTCACAAAAGAATATCACTTCCTGAACCACCGTCGGCCAATCTCAAACTATTGGCGAGAACTAGAATGTACACATTTTGATGTATTATTAATTGAACAAATTTTTTGACAACGCAACGCTTCCAAAGGACATGGATGGTCAAAGTGAGACGATGGCGTTGCGAGAGAGAGATGCTGTCGAGCTAGCTGCTGGATGGGATCAAATGAAGGAAAGTTTACTCGTCGTTCAGTGGTGGTGGTGGTTGTGGGGCATCATCATTTGATTTGAGAATCGACTGAGGGACCTCATTCACCAGCAACTGCTGAATCTGTCTATTACATTGTATCCAGTCCTTCTACTCACATTATTCACCTACAAACTGCATTAGCTAATTTGTAATATAAGTATGTGATGGACAAGAAAATGCAGCAGAGCAACCCTTATTCCATGCTTTGACTGATTCGAATTTCGAATAGAGTTGGGGGATAATATTTCCGTGGTGGTGGGGGTGATTGAGAACCCTTATAAATTATTTCATTCATCTCAATCACCAGAAGGTCGAGCCCTTATTAGTTCGAAGCAACACTGCCCATAAGTTGTATACACGCTTCTGAGGTTCTGATGTCGCATAGTTTGATACATAAGAGAATGGGAAAAATGAGACCTTTCTCCACCAAGCCACGCAATAATTGACTGACAACCACCAGCCTATGCATATTTGGTTGTGCCATGGAACTTTACTATATCGGGTTGTGATCGGTGGGGGTGCTATGGGTATCGTTTCCTGAACTGCATATTTTTCCCCAGTTTAGGCTCCGTCTCTCCTCCAGAGTTCCAGAGTTATTAAGTAGTTGGCGTTTCCTTTTCTTTGCCCGACATGTTGTCTTCGGTATCAATCAGTGCAGAGGTCCGGTTAATAAAATGAGCAACATATTCATAGGAATGCTTGTATCCATCGATCTGCCAAGGAGCATAGTACGCGTTGGGTTACCTTTTTTTAATATGGCTAGACTTTGGAATTTAATGCACATACTGATGACAATAGTGATGACACCCGTCTCCAGTCTCCAGTCGAAGTGAAAAATATTACAAACGGTTACTTAAAGCTTAGCGAGAACACATTTTAAAAATTATTCAAAAATAGTTTGATTAAACTATGTATAACCAATATAGTGCTCACTATTCTAAAAAGTGCCCCAGTTTCCAGACTTTACTCTGGTGTTCTAAATTTTCATCTTGTCATTCATAAGTAATGTAGCAGTACTGTCAAACTGTCGTAGTTGGTGGGGTGGAGGTACGAACTGAAAGCTGTAAAAGCAATAAATATAATCGTTGTCGTTGCAGCTGCACCTAAAGAAGAACTTTGTGTCTAGCACTAGCTGTCAACCATTAAACGAGGAGCGACCGACGGACTTGATGTCTTTCCGCAAATCCGCATGAGGTCCACGGTCGTGTCCAAACCCACGATGACCCGTCGTTCGTGCTTCTCGTAGCCTCACGGCTGCGCCCTACCAAAATCCCAAATTATGGTAAAGCAGTCTAAAATCTCAACTTTTGCCCATTCATCCACCAAAAAGGTTAAAACATATTTGATGTCCACCGTAAAAGGTGGAAGTGGGTGGTGGTGGAGGAGCTGCATATGCAGAGAGAGGGGTTTTAGTTTGTGTGTGCCAGATAATTGTCGTCGTTTTGTGTAATTCTTTTTGGTAGAGCTCCAAATACTAAAAACTTCCGCATTGCTTATTTATGTTTGCCTATCTATAGTGTTTCTCAATTTTTGAAATTGTTATTATGCATACTCGCTTCACCGACCGCTTTTGAAAAACAAATTATAATTTGCAGTCATTTTCCTAATAATGTTTATTATGTTTTTGTGTATCTAATAAAGCACAGGAAGAAATTATTGCTTAACGCCATGAGTCACACAAGAAATAAGTATGATTTATTAATTTCAAGGATTACGAAGGATTAGAAGCTGGGGAACGAAATATTTATCATGCACCTTACTTATTCCGTCCGTTTCGAGAATCGCATTGCGTTAAATATGTAGTTACTTGACTTGGATTGGATGGTGGTTTTCGGTGTGGAGTGTGTTATGTACATAGATACGTACATTGCACATAAGCTATTTAATTTCATCGTCTTCTCCGTTAGAATTTGTCTATTTTCTGCAGGTTTCTCTCCATAAGGACATAAATGCATGCAATTAGTAACAAAATCTTATAATTTGAGCTACGCACCAAATGATACGTTGTTTTAACACACATAAAATCAAGAGATTAGGATAGTTGGGCTTGTGTGTTATTCACTTTTGGACAATGTTTGGCTGTTTTAGAGTAACTTTAAAGAGTTTAAAATTTTCGAAAAACTTTCACAATCAACCAACTTTGACCGCAGTTTGACTTTTATTCCATTTATAGCGTTCATCGTCGCAGCATCATAGTGATCCAAACTAATTACACAATTTATCTGCTGCTGTTGGTCGCACATACTTCTCCCACTGGCCCACCATCGGCTAAGGTCCAACAACCTATGGTGCTGAATGTGACTGGCTAATCATAATAATAAAGGTTTAGAAGATTGTGATTTATCAGGGGGAATTGAATTCATGAAATCGGAATAGCCTTATTTGTTGTGCAGGATACCCTTAATCTTTTGTTCACATGTTTCCGAACTGTCAACTGTGCATACAAACGCCTGTGTATGTTTGATTCTTTGAAACTTTGAATCCCATTTTATGCCAACCCATAGTACTTAGATTTAGATATATGTACGTATATGTATATATATAAAGCTACCACTACGACTGCTCACCAACTCATTCTTCCAATTTGTCGACGTAGACACATCAAATCACAAATTCAAAGAATTGCTCCATTTCAATGAATAGGTCCGAGTCGTCCAATTTCACATCAGTAATGACATTTCTACTGGCAATGCAGCGATGATACATAACAATCACATCAGTTATTTTCCTATCCGCAGTTCCACACCCTTCATAGTTCATACATACACAAGACAACGATGCAATGGGCTTGACAAAAGCGTATTTAGAAGAAGGGTTGCGTGCAGCCTTATTCAAATTCAACTGCCTGTTATAAAGCACATTATTTTTGTTGATGTTATTGTTATGCCTTTGCGACACGTTATTTGACCCCTTCGTGTCCCAATCTAAGGAACAAATGGAAACCAAATGAGTGAAATTGAATAGTTGAAATTCCTGTTGGATAATTACTACCCATACTGGAATGTCGCTGTAGAGTGTACAATGTACATATGCATATATTTAACAATTTACACACTCACAAGCGACACACACTGGCATAGTTTAACCTCATTACTGGTATTGGAACAATGAAATAAATAATAAACTTATCATTCACCGTTTAGAATTAGTTAGAATAACAAGGATTTTAAAACGTGCACATTTGTAAATGCAATCGTCAGAATGAGGTAAATACCGATAGTATTTAAGATGGCGGAGGGTGAAGAAATTATAGTCCTTAATACACATTCTTACACAAGAACACCGCTTCAAAAAAACGAAGGGATGTTTGAGTGGCTACAGATGCCCGAATCAGTTATAAAAAAGAAAATAGGAAGGGAAAAAGATGTCCCTGCTGAGATAGTTTCCAAACGAGTTTTTGGGATGAACATTGACATTTTCCTGATCACTGAACAAGAAGATTGTTCCTTCCTCCGACAAGGGGCTGTGGTCCTCGCATGGGGGCTACACCATCACCATGTGGTGAGGAAGGTCTTCCAACAAACAGCCCTTTGCGGTTCCAGAGCACAAACATAAAGCAATTTATCTGGTTTCATAGTGTGATTTTGTTGTCCTATCAAGTCCATTTCTCCTTCTGCCTCCCTGCACCACCACACCTCATTCTTTAAACCGAGCACATTTCCGGCCTGAATTAGATCAGTAAACTATATGTACATTTGTAGTGTGAGTCGCATCCCTGTAAAAACTTTTATTTTTAAAACGTATTAGATTTATGAGAAAGTACTTGGGTTGAATTTTCCAACATTTACTTATACTTTGTCATTCAAAACATAAAGTTTATTACATTAAAAATGCATTATATTTACTAATTTTATATGATGGTGGTCCAACTTTTTTCATAATTTGTATCATGTATGCAATATAACAATTACTGAAAAGACAAGATTAGCATTTTATACCACAAATTGTGGACCACAATGCAGCTTTTGCATTGCAATCTGTCAACCTGTCACTGTCAATCAAATCAAGGATTGAACTAGTTTTCAAATTGAAGCTTGAATGTTATGAATTTTTAAAGACACCACAAACCAATCGCCCTTTATATAATACAAATTATTCACGTGACAGCTTTCTTGTCCAACCACTACTTTTCATAGAGCACAACAAAAACCGTTTTCTTTTTATAAACATACATAATAGAATAATTCTCCCTAATAAACCATACAAATTCGGCACTGGGATGCAAATTGGAATCTCAGTTTGTTTACTTAGGCAAAATTCCAAACAATTCAACGTTCTATTCAACAATCCAAGTCATACTCTATCGGGAGTCGGTGAATACATTTCATCTCATATTTAAATAGTCTCACAATCAGTGCTGATAACCCCCATAATAATTCTTAAATTTTGTTTTTCTGGATAGTCGAGTCTTATTAGTGTCTCAGTCTCGACAATCCTAAACGATTTGAGAACATCGCATTTTGAGAACTGTTCTTTACTTTCCAAGAGTGCATGGTTTGCCATCTACAAACATCTACGAACTGCCGAAAATGTACCGGGAATTTGTTAAAAACATAATAATGTTCATAACACATGAAAAAATATCAACACGCACTTAAAAACTTGCTCTTATAAACAAATTGTTGGGATTATAAAATAAAAATAAAAATAAAACTTTACAGGAAGGAAAAGAGTAAGTTCGACTACAAAATCAAATAGCCCAGTTTATATTTAGTTTTATTGTTCACTTTTAGTTTATAAACTTTTTTGGTGACAGGTCACAATGGGATATTTTTCTCGGACACTGCGACTGGCACACAACATTGCCCCCCCAAATTCTACCACATTATTGTCCTCTTTCCTGAAGAGTGAACCTTCCTCTGGATTTTTGATTCGAACAAGTCGATACTTTTTTGCGTCCGACTCCTCGTCAGTTACACCCTTGCCAAAGGAGGAATTTGATAAGATGACCAAGAACAGCAAAGTGGTTGTATTTATGAAAGGAGTTCCTGAAGAGCCAAAGTGTGGGTTTAGTAACGCTGTTGTTCAAATTTTTCGAATGCACGGCGTAGAAAAGTATGATTCATATGATGTCCTTAAAGATGAAAGAATTAGACAAGGTACAATATTTCAGAACACAGAGATTTTTACTATAGCTCTATCTATGTTGATCGAATACTTCCAGGTATAAAGGAGTACACCAATTGGCCGACCATTCCCCAGATATTCATAAATGGCGAATTTGTGGGTGGATGTGATATTATGATTCAGGTATGTGCAAAAACATTTCAAGAAATGCTACAGAGTCGAGTAAATTTAATTATTTGCTACATTTTGATCTAATACAACAGATGCATCAAAATGGAGACCTGGTGAAGGTACTAAATTATATTTTAACAACATATTAAATTATACTTTGATAACATGTTTTTAGGTGTTAAATGTAGATTACCCTTTGTCCTTAACATTAATTTGAATGTCATGCCAGACAAATACGGCATGTCCTAAATGCATAAATATACTACAAATGTACACCTCGACTACTCGACATTGTCAATTTGATAGTTTTTGTGTCAAGTCAGCACCAAATTCTCGACAATCTCACCCTTTTGTATGTCTTACCTAACGATATTTTTAAATTAAAATCTAAATACCTGTCACCTGTACTAAAAATATTCAAAACCCTTTATATTCTAACGTAAATGTTGATTACTTAATGATAAGTGCCTTTACATACTTACGGAGTAATCACGATTTCATCATATTCGACAAGGTCAGCAATTCAAGAAATAATAAAATTTGAATAATTGCAGGTAATGGAAAAGGCTGGAATCAAATCTGCGTTGAAAGAAGATGATGGTGCAACCTCTGTCAAGACTAAAGATAACAAATGATTCAACTTTTAACATATTTCTAGTCGTAAATATAAATTTATTGTTTACGATATTTAAAATCTGAAAAGTAAATTTATCGTGTACAACAAATTCTCAACAAATAACTGACTAAAATGAACAAAGAAAAGTACTAGATATTATTAAGAATCATTAATAATAAAAATAAAAACAAAAGTAGTAGTAATGGACAACAATTGTACTACAGTTTAATTAAAAGTCCATTTATCATTTAGGAGTCGCTAGTAGAATTTAGGAAAACTCGCAAGAAGTGAGAAAATGTCTTAACTCGTCTGATTACGTATTTTAATTTTTACTTTCACCAATACTAGTTTATTAAAATTCGAATATTTCTTCAGCCGGAATATCCGGTTCAACATTGCACATTTCGGGTTCAACATTGACAATATTGACTTGTGGTTCAACATTGATTCCGCAAACCTTTGATAATCTGTACTTGAATTGTTTGACAGCGTCATCAGAAGAGTCCACCTGCACGTATGATAATAGGTTATGAGAAAGATAGACAGAAATACATTGTAAGTATAGATTTTAAATTTAATTGTCAGCCAATTTATTTCTGGTCACCTCCAATAGATCGAATATTTCTTGGCGAAATGCGGTATTATATGTATCCTTTAATATGACATCCACAGATTGGGTAAGCAGGTTGATACAATCACTCTCTTTCAAATTTTTATAGTTGATTACTGAGGACATTGATGACCTCGCTGATGCACTATCTGTTGAAGGATCTTGTGTTGCATTTTGAGACGGATCTTGTGAATCAAATGGTCTGTATCCTGGCATTTGAGGTGGTCGTAAAAGTGGACATCTAATGACGCTGGGTGGATGCTGTTGTTGTTGCAAGGGGGGTATGAACGAATGCACAGGGACTTCAGGAACAGGGTCACCCGTGGTGGCAGAGTTTTGAGATTGGAATTGGAACAAATCAAAACTACTTTGACTTTGAGACTCCATAGTGTATTCCCTGCATCATATAAAACAATAAGCAATAAATTTTACCGCATTATATTCATAATAAAAATGCTTGTCTGCGAGCAGACGAATGCAAGTAATGCAAATTGCATTTCATGCATGTTGATTTATCCATGATCTACGTGCATTGCATATACAGTGAAAGCAAGTTTGTATATAAGGTTTAGAAGATGAGACAGGAAGCGGGGAAAATAGTTAATACTTTACATCATATCGGTTACGGAGATCAGTGAGAAACTTCAGAGAAGCAAGTAGAAAGTATTGCTAAAGCATAAGTATTATGCAACATTTACTACTTTTACACTAACCCGAAATTACTGCATACATTGAATTTGCTGACCTTGAATTATCATTCACGATGACTGCTGACACCCGTCGCGGAAAAGAGCGAAAGTAAAGCTATTTTGCACAAACCCAGGTGTGTTTTTAAGGTTAAAGTGCCACAGAAAATAAATATACATATAACACAAAATTTGTTCATCGTAAATAAATGAGGGAATTTCAGAAACCTATCTTTACTACATTCTATTTCAACCAGGACTATCAATTCATCAATTATTAGTGAAAATGTACAACTTGGACGGGCAAGCGATCAAAAATTCTGTAAGAGAGTTCATTTTGTAGATTTATAATTGTACTTGATTCTTAATTCTTAACTGTTATGTTAAAGCAAACGGTATAACTTGCGTACAATTACTAACAACTTGTAAGTCGTATAAAACCCTTACAATATATAGTTAAGCGGATTGCAGTTGGAGAGATATTTTGGGAAATGCACATTTCATATCAAAATGCATATAAACAATATAATATACATATATTGCACTGTGCAATTTGCACATATACACAAAGTAATGAAACAATTAATTGCTGGTAATAATTAATGCACGATAGCATATATTTATGCAATAACTTACCACTAGTGGCGTAATTGATTCAGTGATTCCGTACTTCGATGATAGACTCGATGTTTTCTGCGCTAAATTGACAACAAAAGAGTGAAATTACTATAAACAAACATATGTGCAAATTCAATCAATACAATTTTCTATTTTGGAAAATCTGCAGAGGGTCGACTCTTGACCTCTGCTTGCGCGTTACGTCAAGTCAACCCGATCTTCGTTCCAAATTACTCATTTCTATTATGCATTGATCAATATTTTGGCCATCGTCACTTTTTACCTTCCATGGGTAGGATGGTTTAATAATATAAGTAATTATTGTATACATCCCTGCTATTTATTTATACTAATTTTTGTATTTGATTTAGTTACAGACTTCCTCCAAGCCTGCAAAGTCAGAGTTTCAAATCTTCAAGCAAGTATTGTTCCATTGCTTTCTCATCATTTTGTGCCCCATTACCGTCTTTTTCCTCCTCAAGATCTATTTCTTTGATGGTAAGTTAAAAAACTCCCGTTTCATTTATTACCTATCTATACAACAGTATCATATTTTTATATGAAATTTAGCTATGTTCTATCTAAGACTTATATAGTACTTCGATTCTATATAAGTACTATGTGTGAAACGACCTTAAAAAGTCAAGACTAGAAAGCAGAGTTGACCCTTTATCTTAAATATAAAGTTGACGATTGTTTCGTTGCTTTGCTAATTGTATGTATGGTGGAGGATGTGCTCCACTGCTTCAACGAGACCTAATTTACACTAGTCATCAAAAGAAATTGACTTGAATTGGAGTGAAACATGCTCATAAAAGCTTTTAATTTCAAGAACGGCTATATTGTCACTTTTACCAAATTGATGCGCACGTGCGCTGCCCATTTTACTTAAATAGACTTGGATCAGTTTTGATCGACCCAATTTTTTTTATTTTAAAATTCTAGCATATTGTGAGGATGAGTAGAGTTGATTTTTTTGTTCATCCTTATTATCCATTTTCTGCTCACGTGTCTGCAGTTTTGCAGAAACTACATTATTTAAGGTCTTAATCGTGACGTGATCCGAATCATTTATTGGTTCTTAATATTTTTAATATAATCTAACGGAGATTACTCGGGTGTATCCGAGGTTTAACTTTAAAAGGCCAAAATCTTGACTTTGCGTTAAATAGATTTATTCACTCTTCCGAGTACTAATAAGTTTTACAAAGGAGTTCGAGTACAAATGTGTGCGAAAGTTCTAATATTATGGTTTAGTTAAATGTGGTTATTAAGATAGAGACAGGTGTTGTTGGTTGGTTTAGCTTGATGGTACTTTTTCCGACATCTTGGTTCATGATATTTCTGCGTAACAATGGAACGCAAAATCATCCAACAACGCCAATCCATTTCAGAGTGTTTTCATGAGCGTGGTCGTTTTTGTGGTACGTTCTATTTTATCTGCGTACACAATGTGCCCACGCCACACATCAAAATAAGATGAGTTTAATGTGGAGGAGAAACCACTGAAAAATTACAATCAGTGCAACACAATGGGTTTATGTTTTCAAGAACGAAGAAGGAGTGTTTAAACCCATTGGACTTCTTGTCTCTTACCTTATAATACCATGTTTGGTTTCGGTTCAAGGCATCTCATCATCACGGTGGTGTGGCATACCTTGCTATATCGTATGCACGGATGAAGGAGGAAGACATAATTCGTGGCGTTACGTGGTATTGTTTACCTGGTGCCTTGATTTTGATTACTTCATATAATCAAATCTTCATCCGATATAAATATGTACTTTTTATGTGGGTCACCTTCGTTGAACTAGGCAGGAGGGTGAGGTAGAAGCACTCGAGGAGAGATTTGGATGCATTAATGGTCTCGAAGAACGTTAGAGACTCAAAGTGATGCCTTTGACTAAAAACTATATGGTATAACAACTTGCAACCAGACAGGCTCAAAACATTAGTAACTTATTATAATAACCAACTACTGCTTAGGATTACCTGGTTAGGACGATAAGTAAATATTTGAAGATGGGAAGACTCGCAACCCAGTCGGTGTCCAACCACCGTGGAGTGGACTAAGGAAGTTTAATTTGATTTAGTGGTATATGTGCACCAAGCGTTGTTTATAGTTAAATAATACATGAGAATTATCAGCGTTGTATTGAGCTTGAGTACTAGAGGTAACTTATATATAAATAACCAGGAATCGAATTTATTTACTATGCGGATCTAAAAACTAACGACAAATGAACAATAACATTTGTCCTTATTAACTATTCGTGTTGTTTAATTATAGAAAACTTTTATATTATGTTTTCCTTAGGTTTCTTGGAATTGGAGTCATTGCAGTCGAACCTGTACAGTGCATTCGCTGCTGTCATAGTTCTGCATTTAGCCCTGGGGAATTTCATCTACCACGCGTATTTTGACACCGAAACCATTCCTGGATTTGATAAATTGGACAAGGAAGACTAAAAACTTAATTTTTAAGCAGGTAGATTTAGTTGAAATTTATTCAAGGAAAAACCCAGTCCAATTTATACTTTATTACTTAAATATATTATCGATAGCTAGAAACATTAATTATTATTGAATGTCGTCTTTATAAATGATCGAAACCGACAAAAATATGTCTAACTACTTGTCAGCGTACGATATAACAAATGGAACTATAGTCAGTGTTCAAGTAAAAGATAGGACACTTCGAGGCGAATTTATTGGTGTTCAATTGGCAATTGAGAATTCAAAAAATCCAGCAGAAGACAAAATTGTATTGGACAAACCATTGGAGCTTCCTAATGGAAAGTGTCATGAAGAACCTATTACTATAGCCTTGAACGAAATTAGACAAAGTAAGGAATCATATATATATATCAAGCATAAACATTTACAACTGGGACTCACTTATTTTATTTAATATATTACGTACACATTTCAGTTGAGGTGATTGAATGCGGAATTTTCAAGAAAAGGACGGGACAGGTAGATGATGGACCACCATCTCTTCCTCCTGGTCATCCTGGAGAAAAAATTAAAAAGGAAAAGACGAAAAAATGTTAGTCTGGTTGCAAGTTATGCCAAGGTTTAAATTAACATGGATCAATTTTGAATACATGGTATATTTGCAGGTAAATTAAACTCGGAGATGAAAAATTTAGAGCCAATTGAGATTCAATTGCGCACCTATGTGATCCGAGATCCTCAGCAATTTAAAGTGTTGACAACGTTATTGAAAGAGGTAGATGTTTGTGGAATTTCTTTCGAAGGTCAAAATGTTGGACGGAACGGAATCGTAAGTTGGATGATTATGACAGCTGGGAAAACTTTAATTCCGTTCGATATTGACGCCCTATATGAACAATTACCTGACCTTTGGAAATCCTTGGAGAGATCTGTTTTCACAAATGAAAAACTTATCAAAATCATTCATGATGGACGACCAGCAGCAGACTATTTATGGCACGTTCATCGTATAAAAATGGTCAACGTGTTTGACACCCAGGTTAGTTATTGGCACTACTCTAAAGTATAATGGGAGGCTGGGAGCCAATACATATATATGCATAATTCAATTTCCTTTGGCAAGATTTGGTATGTTTTACATGACAAATAATTTTGGGTTTCAGGTAGCTGACGCTTTAATTGTGAAAGAGCATTTAGGATATGCTCCACCTCAACTCAGTCCACTTTCTGATTGCCTTGAAATGTACAACCGTAGAATTCCTATGGAAGGTATTATTTACTAGACTAATATTGGGATTGGTATATTTGTTTATTTTTTCGTATTTATATTTGTCAAATTTTTCGTTTCGAAGAATTGGACTTTCTAAGGAAATACGAAGGAATGGACTTTTCATCCAATTCACCTTTTCTTCGGAAGCCCCTTCCACCTCCAGAATTTCTTAAACTGTGTGCGATAAAAGTCAAACATTTGGTCCCACTTCGTGAAAACATGATGACTAAACTTATGAAACGTTTACGCAATTGTGTGGAAGCACATCTCAGCACTTTTAAGAACAGTGGTCTCCAAGAGTATGCCGTATTGTCAAAGGTGACACGACACAACAAAGAGTTGCAAATTGATGTTAGAAAATGTTGGCGAATCATAATCCGATATATAATTGTATTATTTCAGAAGCCGAGAGAAGTTTCGTCCGAATTGTTGGACCTGCTTGAAGATAATTTAGGTCAACAAGTTTAGCTCGATTTATTTATTGAGTTTATTAAAAACTGTTAGTTTGTAGAATGTGGTTGTTCTTGTTTATATGTTAGTCCATATTAATAATAATTTATTAATATTATTCATAAGTTAAAGTTACACGTCTCTATGTATGCACGTAAGTGCAGTTGATAAAAACATTATGAAGTAAAAATATTGCTTAATACATATATTATTATTCAATTTCCTCCTATATAGATTAATGCATACTAAATGAAACTACTTGTAACGGTCATTAAACCATAAATTAAAACTAACTATTAGAAATACTACAGGATTTTAAAGTAGTTCTTGTGTTTCAGCAGTCATAACATTCGTTAAAAATTAGTATATTTATATACAGAACGTTGAAACTGGAAGATCAAATGTATACGTTTAAATCCTTTTTCGCACAGTCTTTATGACAGTTTTGCGTATCATATTCTTCCCTTCTGCATTCTTAAATCGCTCTTCTCGTACTACTTGTCTGGAAACAGACAGCTCAGAATTATCAGGGTCCATCTGCTAAAGTATACAGATTACCCATGAGTATATTGAATTGCACCTATTTTGTAATACGAAATTAAAAATATAAAAAATATTCTCGAGCGAAATAATATACCAAATTCGTGTAGCTTTATTATTTCACTCGGGGATATTTTTTTGTAGTATTTATACCTTGCGAATTGCAGTCTGAGCTTGAGGTTTCGTAATTACTTGGACTGGAATGCGTGGTTTTATGGTGGTAGAAAATTGCGTCGCTGGGCTGGGACGTCTTTCGACAACACCACGACGAATTTGAATCCGAGGATCATTAAATTGACGTTTTGGTGGAGGAGAAATGGATCGAGATCGTGATCTAGAGATTGCAGTTGTACTATTTATTTCTCGGGAGCCAAGTCTCGATTTCACACTACCACCGTCAGCACCTTTAAATAATTTATAAAAATTATCTGATCACAATGCGCATAATTAAAATTCCAGTTCAATTAATAAAATAAGGCATACTTGATCTCATTCTAGAACCGGTACTACTAATGCGATTATCATTTCTTGGCTCCAATGAGCACACGCTTCCTCTGTCACTTACAAGTCGACCTAAGCTGTTTGAGTTATTGGTATTGTAGTTGCTTGCAAGATGAGCTAGAATTTGACAAATAATTATTATAAGCATCGTAGATTATATGAATCGTCAAATGATAATAATCGGACCACCTTTGGCAATATTTAAAGCCGGAGAAGAAATTGCCTGTCGTACTTCGAATCTCGTTTTCAAAAAGTCGGAGGGGTCTATTGAAGGGCGAGCAATGACCTGTTGTTGCTGTTGAGAGGAGGATGCAGTACTAGTAGATCCCTGGCCCAATCTTGAGAATACCGAGGACTACGGAAACATTAAACCGTAAATTGCATACGTCAGATTTTTTGTTGTTAAATACGATAAGTAAAGCATTAGGTTCAGATGCTGTAAGTAATGCTTACCTTAGTTTTAACTTGTTCTTTTGGCGAAACATCACTGCTGCTCGAGACGCGACTTTCTCCTCCCAACCGAGAGAAGACGCTAAGTTTCTTTTCAGTCATCTGAACATGGGTATTATTGATAGGTCCCACTAGAAGGTAAAGTGTGCATTACTGAATTTATATACATGCAATTGAAACAAGGGTATCACTGAGCTTACAACGATCTTGCATAAGTTTCTGAGTTTTTGGGGTTGTACCCTCGGGCATCTTCACGATATAGCTCCCTAAGACATTACAATTACAAATGTTACAATTATTAGCACAAGATGGTTAAAAATAACAATAACAAATGAGATCAGCCCATACCCTCTTGTTCCTTTAGAACTCGAGTTTTCTTTTGAAGAGGCACCTCTTCTCTTTGAGCTGGACTAACGCTTCGCTTCAACCTGACAATGGTACTGGGAGTAGGCTTTACGATTTTCGAAGTGGCCATTAAAGTCGCCTTCACGCCCGGTTCAGTCTTTCTATCAGAACTTGTACTGACAAGCATTGATGAGGAGGATGATGGTACTAGTCTGGAAATGGTTCGATTAACAGGTGCATCAGTCTGAGTCTTTGACCTTGCAGCAGCAGTTGAAGGAACCTTGGAGGGTTGGGTTGCAAACACTTTGTGTTGCGAGTTAATGATAACGCTCCGTGGCTCCCTCGATTCAGTAGAACCACAGCTGGATCCAGAAGAAGCTGGTGAACTGCTTTTAGGAGCTGGAGCGGGTGCAGATAGTCTGACCGTTGAGGTTGGTTGAGGAATGTCATAAGCCTGAGCTTTTGACTAAAACAAAATCAAACGATACATTGGTGTTAATGTTAATTGTAGTTAGTTATTAAAAAATTAATTACTCACCTCTTCATATACTATTTTAGCATGCTTGAGAATTGCAATAATATCGCCCATGGCCGTAATGCCCATATCTTTCAAGCACTCCTTGCTTATGTCCATAAGCATATCATGTTTTATTCTATTTTCATCAAATACAAGAGCATATTTGGTATCAAATCCCTGCGGAATCCCGGCATCACGAAAAAAACGGAGCCACATTGCTGCAAGATTTGACAAACACATAGTTTACAACAAATACATCACATTTACAGATTGCATAACACTAAGTTTAACAACCAATATTATCAAATATTCAAACTCGTATTAAATTAATCGACTAAAAAATTCTCAATAAATACGCTAGGTTAAAATTTGATACACAATGATAATTGTTATCAATTAAATGAAAGGACAATGAATAATAATATGTAATAATAAATAAACTTTGACTACTTTCTACTTCATAATTTTACTCCATTGTTGTTTTGCTTACATTTTGTCGCTTTGTCCGATGACATTGTGAGTGAAACGTAACAGCAATTAATAATGCGCCTTTATATTGGACAGAATGATTTGTTTTTTGACGTAATGCTCTGCGTGGGTGAGAACTTTTAAGAAAAATTGTTAAAATCGGCTAAAATTACAAATTGTGTTTCATATTTGTTGTGCTTTTCGTGGTGGCGAAGCAGTCAAGAGGCCCGCCAGCCAAGGAGGCAGATTGAGCGAGAGTCAGAGGCGGCCGTTGTTTACGTTGCGTTGATCTCATCCATAGACGTAGACTATATTACCTTAACCATCTCATCTTCCTTCGAGGACATAGTCGGTCGGGTTTGCGATTTGCAAACGAGCCAAATTATTTATACTCGGTCGGCCCTTTCTCACTCACCTCAGTCGCGGTTTGTCTCTTTTCTGCGCTGCTCATCCCGGCTCACAAAAACACATCTTCACAAAAACAACAATAATATTCACCAAAAAATAACGTAAGAACAAACAACATGTAATTGCATCGACACATTATAAGCGATTGAAAGATTGAAGGTGGATGAACCAATGATTGTTGATTGCATTGTTGTTGTACACACTGGTCGGTTACATACTAAAATTGTTTTTGTGTGCGTTTACTTATTATCAAGTTTTAAATCTTATTAACACTATTAATAGAGGACGACTTTAAGTTCATGGTAGTTCATAATCATCCATGACATAATTTGTAATAAGTACATAGTTATGTATTAAGGTGTAGGTGTACGTAGGTATAAGGGTTGTGAGGTAGAACTGAAATGAATGGAGAGATATGACGATGATCGTCATTATTCAGACCATTGACGAAAAGTAGAGGATATTATTTCCTAGTTCTTCTCTTTTCCCATTATTCGTGTTATTATAATTGCTCCGACATAGATGCATGCAGCCGCATTCATTCAAGTAAGAAACGGGACAGCAATTCGGATCGGATGGTAAAAAAAAGTTAAAATAGTTCGAAACTCACGGGTGACGATGGTGAGATAGCAAAACCAAGCCAGCCAACAGCATTTCCTTTCCAGTAGTATTACATCACTGTTGGTTATAGTTTAAAAGGAACTGGCAGTAATATCATCTTCTGCAAGAAAATGCTGCCTCGTTTTTGAACTGGTGTCTACTGCCTGTCTTTTAACGAGCAAAAGTAGGCTACACGTTTATTTTTGAAAGAATTAAAGCACACACGGTACACAGACACCGAAGCCTGCCGACCGAACGATATCTTAATCCCGTTGTCCGTAATCTGCTATCTCTCGTTTTTCGTAGTAGCCCCCTGTGTCAATCCGATATTAATCCTCCTTTTTACTTTGCTGCTCCTCGTGAATGCCAGGGAATGAGTGTGTGTGTGTGATAAACCAGTAATACATGTTATAATTCGTGTAGCCACTAATTTATTTCCATCACCATCAGTACATGTATATTGTGAACGTGAAATTTCATACATATTGTTGTCTTCTCATAATAGGGAACCGGAAGTGAAAGCACCGTAAAGGAAGAATCTTGCTCATAATACTACTACCGAAACAAGATTTGGGACTTTGTGATTGATTATTCGGATCTCTTTCGTAGTTGTGCAGTTTCTTATCTTGTTCCTCACCGAAAAAGTGATTCAAATTTGACCAAGAGAAAGAAAGTGAAAGTGTCTGTGTGTAGTGCCTGTTGTGGAGAAAGTGGAGCAGCAGCATCAAACTGTGTGCATAGTTAATTAGTATCGTTATAGTTAGAAGGGCTAGTTTGATTATTCCTTTGCAAAACTGCGCAACTACTAGAATAAATTATATAACAATGATGAACAACGGGATGGGGGGTGAGATAGACTACATGGAACAAGAGGAGGAGTGGGAACGGGAAGGACTTCTGGGTGAGTTATCCTGCTTTTTTATATTCGAATCAATTGGTTAAAAGGTACCATCACCGGTTAGATGCATTATTTAGTATTGTACTACCTAATACTAATAGCACATGCCTGTCATTTCCTATAATTATCATATGATCTATATAGGCCATTTTGCATATTACAAATAATTTCACAGTATCACAAATAAATCTCTATATAGAAATTTATTTGCTACAAAATAATAGCGAATGGTCATCTTTATTGATTGTAATTAAAAACCTTTAAAAGCAATCGAGTGTATTATATCATTCACGAACTTATTATTAGTGCACGAGTGCAAAGTGCATAAGTGCCTCTTAGGGTGATCATTTTTTCAAATACAAAAAATAAAAGTTTGTTGAAATAAGTAATTACTTGAATTAGAGTTAGTTAGTAGTACAGTTGTAATATATGAAAAATGTACCATAAGTTGAAACAAATTATATCTGAACTGTGGGTCTTCAGATTCTAAAGACCCACAATATGAATTCCGGTTATGAATTCCGAACTTCAGAATTCATATGGCCGTCTCAATTTCCTTTCATTAGGCATATAGAGTTCATTTAAAACTGATAAATAGATGCTTCAAGCTGTCAAGTCATATATTTCAAAGTCCTTCGGACATATTGTAGCAAACATTTTTACCCAAAAAGGGACCGATTTAACAACAAAAATTCGATAATTCATATGCTCAAATAAATTATGACAATTCAATTTTTGCCATTTTGCATCTGATTGGGAAGTTCTCCTCCTGAATACCAATGAACCAAATGCGCTAGTAAATTATTGAAGCGGATTGAGTAATAACTTCGTGTATATTTTTTTAACAGATCCAGCGTGGGAACGCCAACAGAAGAAAGCAAGTCAAATTCTCTTACTTTCAAATATATAAAAGTACATGTTCAGAGACGTCAAATCATGAAAAAATGATTGAATTTTTGAAACCCTAATATCATGAAAATTTATTCACTGTAATTAAAACCATTAGCGGTTAAAATCATTTTAAGCTGAAAATGGTTCTTTCGTTTTTAAATGAGATATACTGAAATCTATTGAGATACATACGCTTTTCATAATAGAATTTATCAGTTTACCGAGACAAAATCCAAACCTTCCATTCATTTCAGCTTTATCAAGCATGATAATATTCAAATATTCAGTTGGTAAAATCACTGCCCAAGGTAATTCATAGTCAACTAACTAGGAGCATAAGATCAGTGCAGCATATTATTATCTTGAGCAAATATGTATAAAAGTTGACTCACGTCGTTGTAAAAATGCGGATGACGGATCAGGATAACATTGATTAGATAAACATATCAAGTTTTTTTTATTTGATGGCTTTGTTACTCATCTTTGTCGTTCTCCATGTCGCATTCCATGATGGAATTTTCATTGCACATGTAAAATATTTACATTGAAGTTTGTTTCGTCGTTCTTCCCACTAAATAGATTAGAAGAAAGTGTCCACAATGAAATGTGCCAAGTAGAAAATACAACAATGTCAGTTATTTATTATTAAGCGCATATACTTAATATATTGGTTTGCTTATACTCACTACTCAGGCAGGATTAGTCAGTTGCAGACAGGGCTGGTCAAAATATGGAATGCTCTCTATTACGCAAATCTATCAGGCAGTAAATCAGCAAACCTTGAAAGCAATCATCAGCAATTTATTTCAGGATAGAAATGTAATGTAAAGTGTATTTGTAATGTGTAATGGGTGATATTAACAGCTTTTTTTTTGCTGACATCATTTTCTCTTCATAGGTTTGCTCGCATCAGTTCAAAACGAATATTTGTTAGTCTGTTCACCAAACTGGCAATAATTTTGACGCACATTTAGAACTTCAGTTAAGCAATGCCACACATTCCACACATTATTCGCACCAAAAAGAAATAAGTTTATGACAGGCTGCACAAATTGGATACATCACAAGTGGTTTGCGGTTATTAAAACTGAATTAAATATGTGGGTGGTTCTTTGTCTTTATTATAAAATTCTTAATTGTATTAAATGAATTTAAATCGAATAGTTGTATATTTACGTTCCTCACGTATGTAGATTTGAAGCTATCAAAATGGATACATCAAGAAATATGTGTGCATAAATGCCATGCATCCATAGTTAGGAAATGCGAATATGAGCCATGTGTATGTGAATAAATATGTTAGGCAAACACATAAAAGAAGGTGAACTATATCTTTACCTGGCCGAGTACATTTTAAATTACTGTTTAGTGTTACTCAATAGGGTTTGAATGTATGAAACTGCATGAATTGGGGGAGCTTAAACGGTCCAAAGAACACACAGGGATGTGTGAAGTCAAGGTATTTGAAAAACGAAAAGTCACTCAACATCGGCAGAGCGTATTATTAGCAGAAACTTAATTTGAGTTTTGATACCCTACTTTGTTCGCTAAAGCGATGCAAAAACTCACACTTAGTTTTTGTTGATACTTTTTTGTGGATAATTGATTCATTTAATTTCATCGATGATTTTTAGTACGTATGAGTGGATTTGTTTGCAATTGGTTTGTTTGCATAGGTAGGTAGCGGATGATCTTGACATCATCAATTTCAAATTCCTATATTTTACTACTTAAGTTAAATACTCTAAAAGAGTTTGGAATTGTGAGCAATTTGGATGATTCTGTCAAATCAACATTGAAAACCAACCAACCACTTCCCATCCTAGGATGGGGGATGAGCTCATTCTGTTATTTTTATCCACCCGGACGATGAGGATCATTCTGCACGTAGAGTTTGAGAGGTTATATGTGCAAACCTTCCGGTAGTATTTTGTTTACATATTTGAAAGATAGACATGTATGTTCCGCTCAACGTTATCAGCATGTTCCGGCCATCATTTCCACACTCGTTTCGTTTCTCTTTACATGTTTCTTTAGGTTATGTTTGAATGTTTTTCGCCCAGAGTTATGACGGAATATCATCTTGTGCAAATTCTTGAAAAGGGTCACTTTTAAAAATTCCTTGTCCATTACCTAATAATCTCTGTTTTTAGGAATATCAAAAAAAGATGAATAGATCAACCAATCTAATTTAATTGTATGATAACTCTGTTCGTCCGCTCATCATTGATTGCTAAAGCATTTCGTTGTTTGTTGTTTGTTACGCTAGGTAAAAAAACGCTACTTGTGCCAGGCATGCTGCATGAAAATGAGTCACATTTCAATCTTTACTGTGTTGTTTTTAAGGACGACTAACTACAAATTGTATTAGTTATTATTAGGCATTTAAAATCATAAGTTTTAAAAATTATCTCCCGAGTTATTGGTAGGACGGTATCGACGGTGAATGAATATCTCTTCTTCCACCTATTTTTGGGAACACCCTAGTGCCTGGAAATGCAGTTTGAATGAGGGCAAGACTGTCAGTTTGATGTTGGAATGTGTTTTCTTCGCTCACAGTACAAGCCGAGTTAAAAAAACTTGGAAGTCGTATAATGTATTTAGCGAATCTTTGACTTAATGTGAATCAGGCTTGGAAAGACAGGCAGGATAAGCATATGGATTTGCTGCATGAAGGTAAAATCTTGCTCGTGTGGTTGGAGATTATCAGCTTTTCTCTCGGTGTATTCTACGATAACTACTCACTTATTCCGTAAGTACAGCAACCTAGGTACGAGCGTACTCCATGAAATTTGGTCTCTCACATGTAAACTTGAACCAAGTAAACTAACCGAAACTAAAATGTTTGCTGATTTGAACCAACTAGAGCCTTCACATATTTCCTTACAGACCATGGCATTAGGCAGATATCATGTATACCATAGTTGTGAGCTACTTTTTGGTATGCATCGTGTCTACACTCAATAACAATATCAGTGCTATGGCATCTAGCCAATTCTATTGTGTTTAGCCTGGTGACATTATGAGACAAAGTATCCGAAATGCAAGAGTTGTATCAAGTTAAAATGTATTAATTCAAGACTTCTGTAATATGATGAATGTGTACTACCCAGTGTGAAACCTGGCAAACTATTTTTTGTATTCAAATTATGATATTATTATGAAATCTAGTGAAACTTAAAAAGTTACACTCGCGTGCAACGGATTTTATGACTTTGTCCATGCATATTATTTTACTCCAAATTAAAGAATAATGAGACCATGGGTTAGTTAGTATGCATTACTGTGATCTATGCGTCGGCTCATTCTGAAAAGCTATACTGCATGCAGGTTGGGGTTTCTATTTTATAACGAGCACGCGGAACATTGTTCCTTCATCTTGATTTTTGTCACTAATAAATGGATTTTTCCTCATGCACGATGTTGAGCTTATTAGCTAAGCTGGTATGTTAACAAGCTTTTTCGATCGATGCGTGTCAATGAGTGTCATTCGACGTGATTATCATTTGTTGGGTTATTTGTTCCTGCTTGGTTCGTACTAAATGTCGCGATTTCGCCAACTGATGAATGTAACTTTTTTTTAATATAAAATTGCCGTTGCTGTTTCTTTTCCTGTGTAGATCTCAATTTTACTCGAAGAAACTTATTAGTTCATGTGGACTTGGACTTGCAAACTTCAAATTTTGTACTTGTGGTTTTAAGTAGTTGATCTGATGCAACAAAATGCAGTTATAAAACGATTTTAAAGAGCGTTGTGCAAAATAATAAGGAGTTCCAACTTTGTAAAAAAATCGCTTTTTTGGCTTTTTCACAAAACGCTTTTTTCTCAATTCCGCATGTGATTTCGAAATTTTTTCCAATATTTTTGCTTAAAAATAAAATCAAGGTTAAGATAATTTTATTTTTGGACCAAAAGAGTGAAAAAAGAACGAAATTGCATCGCAATTGACAAAAAAGCGTTTTGAGAAAAGAGCGAAAAAAGCGATTTTTTTACAAAGTTGGGAGTCCCTAATATTACTAAACGTACTCTTTTATTAGGCTCTCGAATTTAAAAATATCATCACGACTTTGTTTAACAGAATGTCACGGCCCACGCTTGATTATTCTATAGTCACGATCCCACGAGGTCAGTAAACTGATGAAATTAGAGTTTTTAACCATGTTGAGGATTCAAGTATTGTTGTTTGTGTGTACTACGGAAAAATTGAATATTATTACTTTCCAGTTTAGGATTTTCTAGACTTTCTTCAATTTTATAATTTTACGTTCAATTGGAATTTATTCTAAATTTAACTCAGCGATTTAATTCAATACTTAAATATGCAGCGAAGTACTAGCATTTAAAGCATTGATTGCTTATTTGGTTGCCCAATACCGTCAATCCCAATATTGTCAAATTGACTCACAACTTTTCAAAAACAACGGTTCGACACACCGAAAGGGAGCATGGTGAATAAATTGCCGTTACGTTCCTAAACATCCATGACCATTGCATGACTAACCGAATTACTGATATTATGTATGCATCGCAATGTGACGGAAAATTGTATTTTAAACTTGCATCATTATAAATGCTTCAAAACAATACAGAACTTTCTTTAGTTGCTCTAATGAAATGGGTTGAGGTCTGACCTGATATTCTAGTCATATTATATCAGTTTCGAAATGATCTTGTGACAGACTTAAGTCGTTTTTGACGTTTTTTTCGGATTTACTTTACATACACGTGCACATGAAATGAACAAAAAAGGCCAATAGTCAAGTGTTAAAATACCCAAGAAGTTAAAATTATTATTGATTTGTTATAGTCTTGATTATTTTGTAAAGAATCCTGTTGAAAACTAGACAGCTCTGGAAAAGTGGGATAATAAAGAAAATGTAAAAGTGGACGATTTAATGCATTTAATCTATAAGAGCAGCGCTACTTAATTTTGCACGAAATATTCCATCACACGGTTTACTTTATTACAATACATATGGATTTGAATTTATGAGCTGATTCATAAAGCCTGCTTAAAGGCAAGGATGCACTCGTATCTTGGTAAAAAAATACCAAACAAGCCAAGACTGATATTTTAAATTTATAATTGAAGGTCAACTCAATATGCACAAGTTCATAATCGCAATCTGATCTTTACAGAGATTATCAAGAAGAGCGATTATACATATTACATAGAGTCAATAATAGTACCAGCTAATTATGCGATCAATAAAATGACAATGACTGGAGTTCATTTATGATGATTTTCAATCTGTATTGTTCTGGGCGTATCGCCGTATATGCACATTACTCAAGACAAATCTGGCTTTGCACTTTTTAGAATTTATGTTTGTATTTCGAATAACCAATACGGTGCATGCATCCGTACTCGAAACAAGGAGTTAAGACACATGGATGACGTAAAAAAACTGACGATAAGAACGGTGACTGGATCAACCACCACGCACATTACTGACGCTTATTGTTTCTCGAATTTCTGACAAGTCTAACTCATAAAATATATACGCACCTTGTCTTAAAATTTGTTATCATGTGTATCGTTAACCTACATTCAAAATTGCAGAGTTTCAACTTCTGTTCTGAAATACACGTACACATGAGGCTTGCAAAATAGATAAGAATTTAGATTTCATAACCGGAAGGAAGGTTTTCTTGATACCACCACTAAACTTGTACGAGCATTTCTTCATTTAAACAGGTCCACTTGGGAAGACCTCTAGAGCAGAATTTGCACCAATATCGTCACGATTTTGTCTGCTGAATGAAGAGTACATACAAGTAGGAGGGAATACGTACAACATTTGTAAACAGTAAATAGGAATTAAGCGTCTCAATGTTACTTACTGCATAATATAAGTACATCTCTTTTACGCTGCCTCTTCGTTGCAATCTTTGCCAGTTATTTTAAAGTGAGTAGGCGTTTGCCATCCCAGAAATATCGGGGACATACATTCTTTAGTCTACATTTCGGTTATTTTAAGGTTACCGTCGCCTTCGTCGCTCTCTCGCACTAGTCATCCTCGTAGCACGAGTAATTGTGTTAAACGATTTCTGAAACACATTTAATGAGAGTCGAGGAACTCGATCCGAGTTCCTCGGCTTCTGCACATTGTGACGAGAGTCAATTTTTTCTGAAGATATTCCATGAAATAAATTTCCCCAATATTTTGATATATTTTGAACCTTATGGTACATATTTTGTGCTATATAACAGGTTAATTTGCGGAATTTTTTGTACTGGCATTTTGAATGAAGATGAATTAAAGGTCCCAGCCTACTTAATTTATAATTTATGACCACCAGGAAGGGTGGACGGCGACCAAGGTTGCATTAACGCGATCCTTGTTATGAGCTCAAATTTCTCGAGATAAATATGGCAAAAAATTGGCTCACCAAAATGTGTATCCGTGTGAAAACGGGGCCCAGGCCCAGGCGAAATGCTCTTTATCTTGTGATTTTTCCGTTTTTTTTCATGCGTCACAATTATAATGTGATGCAAAAAATGCAATACCAACAAGCTTTATAAATATGGATCGATTAAGTTTATGGATGAACGTACCGTGTTTCCCCATTTAATGTTCATATTATTGTTCCAGACCTTTACAGCTTGGTGCAATTCGCATTTGAGGAAAGCTGGAACCGGGATTGAAAACATTGACGAAGACTTTAGAAATGGGTTAAAATTGATGCTGCTACTGGAAGTTATTTCTGGAGAGACATTGCCAAAACCAGATAGAGGAAAAATGAGATTCCATAAAATCGCCAATGTCAACAAGGCTCTGGATTACATCGCCAGCAAAGGTGTGAGATTGGTATCCATCGGAGCAGAAGGTATATATAGGAGAGAGCTTGTCATACTTATAACTGCTAGAAATTACGATTAAATTAAGATGTTTTCAAATATTCCCAATTATCACGCAGAAATCGTTGACGGAAATTTAAAAATGACCCTCGGCATGGTCTGGACTATTATTCTTCGTTTTGCAATCCAAGACATCTCTGTGGAAGAAATGACGGCCAAGGAAGGGTATGTATTTGATAAAATTATGCAATTTCTTTATAAATACGGATTTTGGGACTTTTGGTAACAAAAATAACCTTTAAATTCTGGTGCTCGGCAGGTTGCTCCTGTGGTGTCAACGAAAAACCGCGCCGTACCGTAATGTTAACGTTCAAAATTTCCATCTCTCATGGAAGGATGGTTTGGCCTTCTGTGCACTTATTCACCGCCATAGACCCGACTTATTAGGTAATAGTTGTGGTTGGTTAACGTGTTTTTTTGGTTAATCAGTGAAAGAGTCTACATCGTTGGTAGAAATTGTCACAAAAATTTTTTTGTTTCGATGGTGGTCCAAGAGATACCGAATTTCTTTCTTGGTTTCAAATTACTTTGTTTACGAATGGATAAACTTAAGAAACACGAGAAATCCTCACTCTCTGTAGTTTATGTTAGTTTATTGTAGTATTGTTACCGATGTCTCATATTTTATTTGATTGATTCTGGGTGGCGACCTGTTAGATTACAGCAAGTTGTCCAAGGTATGATTACATGTTAATAATATCAAGTGGTATAAAACTTATTATCCTGTTAACTTCTATAGACTTGATTGTGAATCATTTTATTTTCAGGATAATCCATTAGAGAACTTGAATTTGGCATTTGAAATCGCTGAAAAACATTTGGATATCCCAAAAATGTTGGGTAGGTATTAATAGTACTCAACGTGCATGTGCTAAAACCTATTTTTTTAAATTTATAATTCTTTCATTATCAATTACAGATCCCTACGGTGAGCTTCGTTAACATTATTATGATCTGTAAAAATACTGATCATAGTCATAAGTATTTTTATTTATGTATATATTTACGGAATTCCAAAGTCCTCCTGCAAAGGATGAGTTATTATTTTCATTTAATTCTTTAAAATTAGACTTGATCAATTTTCCTAAGCCCGATGAGCGTGCTATTATGACATATGTGTCATGCTTCTATCACGCTTTCCAAGGGGCACAGCAGGTAAATCGAGAGTGTACCGCTAATATGTGTGGATTTTTTTTGCGTTTGGATTTGGAATTTTTTAGTTTTGCCGTTTTTAAAATTAATTGATTTACTTAAATGATTTAAAAAGTTAATAACAAGTTACATAATATCAAGTAATAATGCATACATACTAATAGGAGTTACACTAATGCTTAACAGATATTGCGAACACTGCTATGCCTGATGAGCGCTTAGTGATGACTTATGTATCGTCGTACTACCATTGTTTTTCGAGTACTCAAAAGGTAAACTCACTGATCCATGATGAATGGTTTTAAACTAATATCTATATTAACCACACAACTTTAATATCCTTATGCATAAAGTTTCTTGTGCCGATTGTAATACAACCTATTTTGGAATTAGGCCGAGACAGCTGCAAACCGAATTTGCAAAGTCCTTAAGGTCAACCAGGAAAATGAGCGTTTGATGGAGGAATATGAACGTTTAGCTAGTGATGTAAGGGCTCATCTAGTAATTACATATATTAATATAATAGTCAATGGGTGTGCGTGATTCCAGCTTCTTGAATGGATCCGGAGGACTATGCCATGGTTGAACAACAGACAGTCGGATAACGCACTAGCATCAGTACAGAAGAAATTGGAGGAATATCGAACTTACCGTCGTGTTCATAAGCCACCCCGAGTCGAACAGAAGGCGAAGCTGGAAACAAATTTTAACACACTTCAAACAAAACTTCGGTTATCTAATAGACCTGCATACATGCCAACAGAAGGAAAAATGGTATCTGTAAGTGGTTTTTAGCAATAACATTTCAATGGGTGTGTTGATTCATTGTTATTTATTTATTTGCATTAACTTCTTGTCGTTTTCTTGGTGTTTCCAACAGGATATTGCAAATGCGTGGAAAGGTCAGTTAAAAAATTTCAATATCAATATTATTATTGCTCTCGATGTACTCGCATTGTGTCCGTTATTACCATTATTGTATTATTTCTCCAATTTTCGGTTCAAAACATCTTTATTGGCTGTGGAATTTTTGGAGGCCAATTTTCTAATTAGTTCTAATATAACTCTGCTTTTCATTTGGCCACATGATTTTCGAGATTAATGAAATTAATTTCGTTAAACTCTTTTAGGTCTTGAAACTTCGGAAAAGTCGTTTGAAGAATGGCTTCTGTCGGAAATAATGCGGTTAGTTCTTTTTCAATTTAATCATTGTAATATATACTAACACAATATAAATAGGAACATGTAGATGGCAATATATTTACCTAAATTGTAATTTTTGCTGTAGACTTGAGCGATTGGAACATTTGGCCAAAAAATTCAAACATAAATCAGATATTCATGAGGAATGGACAAAGGGAAAAGAAGAAATGCTACAGAGCCAAGATTTTAGACATTGGTATACCCAAAAAATTTTGACTATTTGAATTAATACATTTTGAAATTTCAATTATCCCTCATCACTATTGTCGTCATCACCTAAACTTAAAGCTAACTTTGTTTCTTTTTCAGCAAGCTAAATGAGTTGAAAGCTTTAAAAAAGAAACATGAAGCTTTTGAATCAGACCTTGCAGGTATAATATAATAGCAGATTATATGTATGTTGATCAACCGGTGTACAGATGTGTAATTACCGTACGCTAATTTTTTTTAATCCAACAGCCCATCAAGATCGTGTTGAACAAATTGCTGCGATTGCTCATGAACTAAAGTATGTAAATTTTTAAGTACATATGATGTATACATTTCATTCTTAGAAGTAGTGGAAAATATTACCAAAACATTTCTTATAGTGCCTTGGGATATCACGACAGTGCTTCAGTTAATCAACGCTGTCAAAGAATTTGTGATCAGTAATAATTCAACACAATTTATTAATACACAGATAGTTGGAACATATTTTCTAAAGAAATATGCTATGCTTTAGATGGGATCGCTTGGGCAGCTTCACACAAAGACGTCGCCAAGCATTAGATGAGGCTGAAAAGGTTCTCGAAAAAATTGACACTCTACATCTCGAATTTGCCAAACGTGCTGCTGTAAGTTTGATCCATATATTTAGATTGTGATTATTAAGAATTATGTATTATATTTGTGGTACAAATTAAATAAACATGTTACGTTATAATATTTTACGTAGCCGTTCAACAATTGGCTGGATGGAACGAGGTACGCATTCTAGATTTATGAGCGCTAATTAGTTGAAAAGCCCACAAGAATTTTCTGAATTATACCAATTAATTCGCCCTGGATATTTAATATTTATACTTGGCTTTCCAGTGAAGATTTGGTGGACATGTTCATTGTGCACACCATTGAAGAAATTCAAGGGTTGATTGACGCTCATAATCAGTTCAAAGCAACATTAGGAGAAGCTGACAAGGAATATAATTCTATCGTGTCTCTGGTAAGATATATTTAATATTGCGGAGATATTACAAAGTCTGAAATTCAGACTCTGAATCATGGGTGTTACATATCAAAACAGGGTCAACCTTAATGATTCAGACGTCACATGTCCTTGTGGTTTTATGCATTTGTGATTAAAAGTTTGTTTACATGTGTGCAGGTCAAGGAAGTTGAAAGTATTGCTCAGAAATATCAAGTCCCAGGAGGTCTCGAGAACCCGTACACAACCCTCACTGCAAGCGTAAGTTTCTTTGAGTTACTGGTATGAAATAAATTAGCACTTTGAGTACAGCTCTCAATTAGTCTCAATGCACTCTGTTCCGCGAGTTTATTTTCTGTTGCTGGAGTTTATTTTTGGAATAAATTTGTACTAAATCTTAGGCACGTTCGCAATATGCTTATAAATTATAAAACTTTGTATAGATATAGTTGATATGATATGTTGCAATTATATATTTCTACATGCTGCGAATAGTTAAAGGAAGAACTACAAGTTCAACTTGAGGTATTCTTCTTATCTGATATCTTTATGGGTTACTTTAAAAAATATCATGTCCAAAGTTGAAGTTTTTACATGGCAAGAAATAAGTACAATTGTTTAAATGAGTGGAAAATTTTCACTTTCGTGATTCTTGTGAATATTTTGTTTTTCAGACCCTTACGAAAAAATGGAACGAAGTGAGACAATTGGTGCCACAAAGGGATTCTACTCTTCAAAATGAATATCGCAAGCAACAAAGTAATTTTATTCAATCAATTTAAACAGTTGAAATACTTGGCATTTTTAATTTCTTTGTAAATTAAAATTATACTTAGATAATGAAATGCTTCGACGTCAATTTGCTGAAAAGGGAAATCAAGTAGGACCATGGATTGAGAAACAATTGGACGCTGTTACTGCTATTGGAATGGGTTTGCAGGTATTCACTATAATGAGTAGAATTAAACAGATTTAATGTAATAATATGTTTTGTTATTAATTTCTAAAGGGATCACTTGAAGATCAGCTCCACAGACTAAAGGAATATCAACAAGGTGTGACTGCTTACCGACCGCACATTGATGAACTAGAAAAAATTCACCAGTCCGTACAAGAAGGAATGGTCTTTGAAAACAGATATACACAATACACAATGGAGTAAGTTATGCTTGTATTTATTTTACTGAAACGAGAAGTAAAAAAAACTTAAAAGAATACCATTGTTTGAATAACGCGTGTTGTAACGCGTTGTAATGCACATCGCTCAGAAAGTCTTTATGGCTAGGTGGCAAATTAATGTATCCAATATATGTTTCCAATTACAGAACTCTTCGTGTGGGTTGGGAGCAATTACTAACCTCTATCAACCGAAATATTAACGAAGTCGAAAATCAAATCTTAACTCGTGACTCCAAGGGTATTACGCAAGTAAGAAACGTTCACGGATTTACAAGGCCTTGCTCATATAGGAGCTCATGTTTGGTCGTTACTGATTTATTTGTTGATTTCTGATTTTTTTCAATATTTAGCAACAACTCACGGAATTCAGAGGCAGTTTTAACCATTTTGACAAAAACCGTACCGGGCGTCTAGCGAAGGATGAATTTAGATCATGTCTTGTCTCGTTGGGATATTCTGTTCAGGTTTGTTTTTGCTTTTTCTTATTGCAATACATAAACTGGAAAAGATTCGTATGGCTGTCGATGAGTGGAGGATATGCAAATTAAATTGCATCTAAATAAATTTTATCGAACATACTTCATGTATTTCGTATAGTCTGTGAAGGTCGACTTAATGCGTGGCTCCCTATGAATGATAAAAATGCTATAAATAACTAAATAATGCCCTCTGATCGGATGTAATTTGACTTTAACTTTGACATATTTGCAAATTTCAGGGAGATGTTGACTTTAGCAGAATAATGGCAGCTGTGGATCCCAACAACAGTGGTTACGTTCATTTTGACGCCTTCCTGGACTTTATGACTCGAGAATCCACTGACACTGGTGACTTTTTACTATTTAGTTTCTTGAGACAAATAAACTTATTTTATAAATACACAATGAACACATTTAATTTCTTTCTTATTTTATTAGACACCGCCGAACAAGTTATAGATTCATTCAGGATTCTTGCCGCAGATAAGGTAATAGTTTAATTGTTGCATTGATACGTTATAGTGGTCTGCAACGATGTGCATTTAATGACGGAATACAAATTCGGTTTTTATTTTAGCCATACATCCTTCCCGATGAATTGAGAAGAGAGTTGCCTCCAGACCAAGCTGAATATTGCATTCAGGTGAGAACAATATCAATATTAATGTTATCATAAATTAATTGCAATAATATTTATCTGGAACAAGCCATAGTCATGTTTTAATATAACTAAACTTTCTGTTGTTGTATTCAGAGGATGCAGCCATTCAAAGGACCAGGCGCAGTTCCAGGAGCCCTTGACTACCTCTCCTTTTCCACAGCTCTGTACGGAGAGTCTGATATTTAATTATATTTTGCTAAGTTTGGAAAACTCTGTGAATTTGTGAAAGAAGAGAAGACCCATTGAAACAAATCATTATTGGTCCAATACCAGTACCAAGCTGTGACTGCCATTCATCATAATAATATTGTTTAATAATTATTACTTATTTGTTAACTATATAATAACTCTTAGTCTTCCTGGCTCACAAGAATGCAATGTTACCAACTGAATAGGTCTTCCAATACTGACTATGTATTATATCCCTTCTTTGTAGTTACTCTTCTAAATCCCTCAAATTCACGAGCTTTTGGTTTTCCATAGAATACCATTGTTATTATTGAAGATAAAATTGGTCATGCCCTGCGTAGTATTGTTTTTTAATTAACAACCGTAATTACATCAAACGAACTGAGGAAATATTTCGAAAGCCTAGTCGAACAGAGTCCACTTTAATTTGTATCTCCCCTCGTTCATTTAAAAACTGATGAGTTGTGTACGAGAGCAGCTAAGATGATTAGTATTTGTAAGTTTATTTCCAGAAGTTGTTATGAGTTATTTAGTATTTGTAAGTATATATATAAGTACATGCATGCTATGGATGAGTAAATGAATGAAATCAAGCCAAGCTTTAATCATTAATATATATATACATAAGTTTATTTAATAACAAGTATTGCATTGTATTATGGTGATTATTTGTGTGACCTGTTTTCGCAATTTGAAATTGACAACCTCTGACATTATTTGTGCCAATTCGTACGACAAGAATGAAATTTTGATGGGTGGCTGAAAGTGGGTTTATTATAATAGATATCCATTTGAATGGGAATGAAGGAATGCACTACTGATGATATGTTATACATATGTTAAGGCAACTAATAATGCATTCATAATATTAGGATCTATGTACGCACTAGTAGTTATGTATATGAGGGGTGGTTTGTATGATGTGAATGTAAAAATGTTATGCCACGGATTATTGTTTATTGTTAGAATGAGAATAAATTATCGAGTCATCTAGTCGCAGGGCAATTTGATGTAAATCTCCCCCTTCTGAGTTATGTTATGTTCAGTTCCGACCGATTTTCAATTCAACAGGAAAGTGAGGTGCACTAATTACAAGTCAGTTTCTAGCGTATGAGATACTGCAACCAATAAACAAACAAAAAATCAATCCTATTTTGTGCATTTTTAAATTTGAGACATAACTGTCGATTTGGTTATTTATTGTGAAAAAATTAATTCAGCAGCTCTCAAAGTAATCTCTGATTCAAGTATTGTACGAACCTGTATATATTTTAAAAAAGTTCTAGTTGAATGGATGTATGAAGGCAATATTAATAAATGTCTGTTGAATAAAATTGAGAAATTCAAATTTTTATTGACAATCACATTTTACATGTACATATTAATTCCAATAAAATTTGCTGGGACGTTGTTGCGCTCTCTCCAGGAGTGTTGATGATGAGCATGAAAAATAATGCGTATCTGTATTATATATAACATTTAAACATTTGTCAAAAAAGACGTTTGTATTATTAGAAAATAGTCACAGTCGGTCTCTGTATATTGTAATTAAAATGCAGAATGATGCTAATCATAAGGAGATTCATTTTTAATAAATATTTTCTAACCTTTCACTATTTGATATATTTATAAAACTACACAGTCAACAGTGTTGCTACTCAGAGAAAGATTTTATTAGCCTATTTGGTATAGGTACAGGATCTGCCTACAAAGTTTTGCAAATCTATTGATAAGCTAACAGAAAAATTTGCATAAGCAAGAATTTGTTGAATCTCAACAAGCGTGCAAGTCAAAGTACAAAAAGTAGGTACAACGTAGAACTTAATCGTAGAATAGTAATAATTAGTAGTAATATAATAGGGAAGGTAGTTAGGTAAACATGAAATACTTCTTGATCGAGTTTCTAAATAGCGTTCAAGGAACATCAATGATGGCGTCGCGCCGTTGGCCGACACCGATCCATCTCACTGTTGAATTAAAAAAAGAAAATCATGAAAATTAGCTATGACCAACATACTGTCACTTAAATTAGGGAAACGAGGCCTGATTGAGTAAGGGGCACATACCAGGAACTTGTAAATGATCTTGAATTCGAAGAACGTAGTTTTTAGCGTTTTCAGGAAGATCATCCCATTTTCGAATGTGAGCAATAGATTTTTTCCAACCAGGTAAGGTCTCATACATTACTTCAACCTGTGAAAGTTCGGCTGGATCAGCAGGATATCGTGAGATTCGTACTCCGTTCAACTTGTAGTGGGTTGCAATTTTGATTTCAGGTAAATCATCAAGGATATCCAATTTTGTCAATGCAATGCTAGTGATTTCAAAGAACATTTCATTAAATTAAGCATAGCTTGACCTAGTTAAATAATTTACATACGAATGTCTCATGAAACTTGAACATCCTGTTATTATTAAATTAATATTTTTGTTTATTACCTCGTGTAGCCATTAACCGCGTTAGTATACTCCAGTAATGCGAGATCAAGCCAACCGCAACGACGTAGTCGACCAGTAGTAACTCCCACTTCTGCCCCAACTGTCTGCAAATGCTTTCCAATTTCCTGTTTAGAAAAATCGCATTGTAAAACAATTCTATGAAATGTTGGACATTATTTAAAATGGCATGACTAACGTCCTTCAACTCGCTGGGAAACGGACCATCTCCAACCCGTGTAGTATAAGCTTTAACAACGCCATACACATCTCCAATTCTCTTTGGTGGCAATCCTAACCCTAAATGTGAATTTGATGCTTCTGTATTTAATTGTTTCTGCTTTAATCAATAAACGAATGGTCATGAGAATCAATCTTACCCGTGCAAACTCCTCCTATACTGCAGTTCGAAGACTGCAATTATATAACATTGTATAACATTGTATAACATTATAAATATTATTACTTGTTGTAAACCAAATTCTAAAGGTATTTTACCGTAACGAAAGGATACGTGCCAAAATCTATATCCAACATTGCAGCGTTAGCACCTTCCACAAGTATCTTTTTGTTGCTGCTGTAATATTGCATACAAGAAATAGGATTTGAAGCTAGTTACAAGCATCTAACAATAAGTATCTCTGTTTCAAATGGTATTAATTAGGTTTGATACTAACCGGAGCTCATTTTTGAGGTAGTCTACAGTATCACAAACCAAAGGCCGAATCTGGATATTATAAATTAATAAGACAGGCACGAGTATACATGGGTACATGTATGATAATAACTAACCATCTCAGCATAATCCTTATACCGCAACAATTCCTTATCCACGTCAACATGCAGGCCAGGAAACATGCGTTGATGATGATCCACCAGTTCTCGAAACCTTACGCCATAATTTAGCATCATTCAATTCAGTGATCCCTAAATCACTCATTCATGAGGAGAGAGGATCTATCTATATTACTTTGTAGAGAAAGATTCAAAGTCGCCCATTAGGTTTGAAACACGTAGTCCGTTGCGACTCGCTTTGCTAGAGTAGGCTGGTCCAATTCCTTTCTTTGTCGTGCCCAACATGTTTTTCCCCTTCTCAGCTTCCTGCAGCCCATCCACCGCTTGGTGAAAATCAAAAACTAGGTGAGCCCTGTCAGAGATCAGTAGTCTATTGTGCCAATCGTCCAGTCCTTTCGCTTCATTAGCCTCCAATTCCTTGAACAATCCAGGTAGATGGATCACGACCCCATTTCCTAGTAGCAGAATTAAAAATGTATCATTAGCCTTTAGTTTAGCACTACTCGAGAAGTACTAAGAAGAAACTGTCATCGTCATCATTCTCGCGATTTGATTACGACACAATATGTGTCTTGTTACATCATAGCCTGTCTGACTGAACACACAAATTTATTTATTTGATCCTACTTTCGCTCAGTCAGAAAATTTGGCACAACCACCAACCATAAGACGATGATGATGCGGCTACTACATACATATGTATACTTGGCATCATTTTCCAATGTTAACTTGGGTTGATAAATTCATACGTGTATCGGTTCTCCAAATTAACTTATTGAGATTGTTCCAAGTTTTTATTCGTTTCAGCAAATGCTTTCACAGACTGCAACTATCTAGCATTTCAATTATACTCGATGGTGGACCCGTAACAAAAGAAAACCAATTAAATATTCATGAAATTGTAATGTATCCACAACCTTGAAATCGACCTCATCTTTTATTTAACCTTGACCTTCAAGCATGCGCTTACTTTAAAGATAGAATTCATGTTAGCTGCCTAGTTAATAGTACCAACCAGCTATGTGTAAAAATTATCAAAGTATACATACGTAAATGCCATCATAACTTTAATTAATAATCTCAGTTTCACCAGAACTGCATGGTTAATAACAGTTGTTTAAAATGCATAATGAATGGCATTCAAAAATACTTCCAACTGCTTAAAAACCACTCATTGAACATTTTATCTAATATGCTGTATATACTTTGATGCCAAAACTACACAAAATTTTTATGTGGTAAAACGTAAATAAAAACGTAAATAATTTAGTGTACCTATGATCGATTTGCAGGCCGGATTAATGATTCCAGATCTAGAATGAAAAACAAATAGTACACATTTACATCAGGCTATATAGGAATTTGAGTATTCATTAAATTCAAACCACACACTTCTAAATAAATATCGAGATTAGCATAGGAGATTTCGACAACAAGAAAAAGGGAGTAACTGTGGTGGTGGAATATAGTGTCAATTGTGACGTGTCATGGTTTGCAACACAAGTCAGTAAAAAATAGGTGGGCAAAGATACCACATCAAGAGAGTATTGTTGCATAATTCAATAATAACTTACGGTAGCAAATGGAAGTCATAAGCTTTTTCTCCAATGACGACAGTGTGCCCTGCGTTGTTACCCCCCTGGAATGGAATTCAAATCAACATTACAGAAAATTTGAGGGATATTGATATAAGCCAGGGATACATACCTGACATCGACACACAATGTCCGCATCCGACGCCAGCAAGTCAACCAGCTTCCCCTTTCCTTCGTCGCCCCACTGGGCTCCAAGGACGACAGTCACACGGTTGTCATCCTTCACCCCTCCATTAATTCCATGTGCAAATACTCCATTGTTGGCCTTGTGAGCGACCCCATTCGACACTCCGTTCGCCAGGTTCCCATTCTCGCATATTTCTAAAGTCCCCATGACTGCCGCCTACTTTTCCTCAATCAATTGTCCGACTGTTTAGGATTACTCCAGAGAAAGGGGGTCTCGATTTCCTATCGTAAAAAAATCACACAATAAATCTATTACCACTTGTGTCCGTTATACGCACTTTGAAACGCTTGAACCAAAATTAGCTGGTTTTACGAGGCAAAATGCAGACTATACATGTACAATAGACTTCCAGCAGCAGGAGGTATCGATTGATTGATCATCACATCATTCATCATAGATCTGCATGCATATATGCGTCGCGTCAGACATGCGAGTCAGTCAACTCAAACTGGGAATAAATTTATTGTATTACCAATTTGGGATACTAATAATACATGTAATAATGACGCATGAGAGCAACAGCTAGCTTTTATCAGCACGTTCTTTGTTCATGTATTAATCCCTCCACGTAATATGTACACGACTACTGGAAATGATTACGTTAGCAAAATATCCTAATTATTCCATAGTTCCTGCTCAAATTGAAAAGCTAGGCTGACTATTTAAGCAGCACACTTATGAGACTGCTCAGTAAATATTCCTGCGAAGGTTTTTCGGAGAATAGAAATATATAATGAGTACTTACGAAAGAAATGTCACCAACTTGGCAGTGCGAGTTTCCGGTGACTTTTTGACTTTAAAAGTGGATCGATGACACAGTTTCAATTGCCGATGAGGCGAGAAGTGGAGTCCGGGTAGGAGATAAGGAAGACCCGTTGTCGTCCTGTCCGTCCGTGGAGAGGGTTTGTGACCGAATGGAAGCGAAGCCAAACCGAATGCACTCTTCTCCCGTCCTTTTATAGTTTCCTTACACCAAGGCTGCCTATAAAATCCTACCCTTCGCTCCTGGGTATATTTTTGGCTGCATGAAAGAACCGGGGTGCCAATGAAGCTTTTCATTATAATTCGTCTTTCATAAGCGACTGACTCGTGATCTTGCAATGCTAAATCTAAACCCAACTAGTAAACGAGCACTAATGGTACTGTCAAACTGCTGCAACGATGATGATAAAGGTAGAAAGGAAAGGGTTAGGTTATTACTGCAATCTTTTTCTTCTCCAAACTCATGCACATACTCGTCACACTGTTCAACTTTCATACGTCATACGTGTATAAATTTTTATCTCAAGTCAGTGAGACAGATGCCTGACATGAATTTCTGTTATACAAGGATAAAACATTCGACTACGCAGCTTTTTTGAATTCCATATTCCCCGTTAGCAAATTGTCGTTAACAAAATTATCTTGCACAATACGTACAAAACTAAAATTCAATACGCAACAGTCAGATATGTAGTCATAAAAATTTGTCGAGTATGCAGAAAGACTCGCATCATCAAGATTTAATGGATTGACTAGCTTATGAAAATTATGAGCTTGTAGGTTGTACATATGTAAAAGTGCAGTGTAATTATACTTATAACGACGTGTTATATAAATCTTCACCAGGATACGAAACAATTCAAAATCGTCTCATGCTTTCTTGTCAAACTAGGGTAGAACATTAGATTTAGGGTGGAACAAAAGCGATGATAATAATACTCGGCCAATATGAAAGACTGCTCGTGAAATAATGAAGTTTAATACAGTATGAGACAGAGAAATGAATCTCTTATAATCAAATTTCAAAGCCAGACAGGCGTAAATTGTGTAATTCAATACTTTGATCATGTGTATGAACTATTATCACAAGGAAAGCGTGAGATCATTCATAAATATTCATTGGTCTGCTTCTTCCAAGTTAGTATAAATATATATGTATGTATGTATATGTATTCATATAAATACATTCACCATATGCATCGTATAAGTGTCTACTACACTACGTGGAATTTGGAACCCAAGAACTGAACTCTATTCAGATATTCAAGAATGCAAGAATTGCTTGTAAGTAGGTCAAAGGTTGACAAAGATTTACAAAGTTCGCTTGGACATTATAACATAATCTTTTTCCTCTTCGTCCTCAGGACAGGTTTCGTCAATGTCATATCTGAAAAAGAGCAAATCACGTAAATGACCAAAAATAATGGGTATAATAAATCAGCTATTAATAATAATTGTGAATCTTGACTGATCTTAGACCAAAGTTTATCTTACCTTATGCTTTTAAAGAAAGCAAGTGCGTTCAGGTTATGCTTAAAAACGGTTAGAACAACCATGGACAATTTGGTGGCGGTCGCTATTTCCTCTAACGTTTTCATAATATGCTTCCCAAGGCCAAATCGTCGAACCGTTGTCTCCAACTGAATTTCATAGCTAAAGTAATAATAAAAATAGGGGAATGTAATTGACTTTCCCACAAATCAACATCACATTTTTGCATGCGATGCTTTTTAGTGCAAGTTTTACTAGGCCGCTTGCTATTATTTGATCGATATATATTATCGGACTTCTAAAATAATGCAGGCAAAAGTATATATATCAACGTTTCTATTTCAGGTGGACGTCAGGCTCAAATATAATAAGAACATGAATAAATATCCCATTTTTCATTGACACAGGTGAATTTGCACCTGCACAGAAGGATCGAATTAATTTACTCGCAATAAAATTGGTTCCAATTTAACGGAACGAGACAAAACAAACTATGCGGAATCGCAAAATTGGAATGCTTCCAATAAAAATATTAAACATGCATCATTAACTAATGGAAAATTTCAAAGCAAATGAATTCACACAGCAGCGCAGACAGCATTCTTTCACTGCGTGGATACACCATGTACGTACATACTAAAAACGAGTAACTAATAACATTCAACATAAATTTACTTACCAATACAAAACCTGACGCCCGTAATCCATGTCAAACTGGAAATGTGTAAACGCGACAGGTTTCTCATTCACATATGCGACCAGGTAACGCGAAGTTTCCTGCGTCATTTCTTTTCTTTTCTTGCGTTCCTTCCACCCACCTTGACTCCGTTTGTACCTACAATTTTTAACATATTTCATGATAAACTATGTATGCACTCAACGATCAATCAAATTCTTTCTGTTAATACGTTACTGAAAACCTGATACGAGCCATTAATAAATGAATTATTCAGAGGTAATAAATATCATGATATTAATTCTGCAGAATATTGACAAGAAAATGACAAGTATAAGTGATCGCGTCACGCAAAAATTAAGACTTACGACGATGAGTGAACATTGAATGATAACCAATTCAAACCTACTATCACTAGTTCTGGTTGGATCATATGTTTGAGTACATCTGACACGTACAGTAAACTTTAGATTTTTACACATCTTGTGCTAGTCAAGCAATTGAAATAAAAAGTTATAAATTAAATGACGTACATTTTCTTCATATTTCTTTCCATTAAACCCATAATCCACTTGAACTGAACTGGAGACAAATTTTGAGCCTTGAAATGCTTCAGAGTAGCCGTGGAACCATCTCTGTAAGTCAGTGAACTGTAATTATTCAATAGTTCCAATTGTAACGGGTCCTCCTATAAATTCAAATCAGATCAAAATCAGGTCACATCACAGCCACAGGCGATCCAACAAGACTAATCTAATCCCGTACAACTAACTATATACTTTATCCAACCAAAGCGAACTATTTTAAATACCAAATGTCAAATGAATTAAAAATGAAAATAAGAGTGGTAAACTAACCAATGAATTTGCTTCAATGACTCTTGTCTCATCCTCCTCTGTCGGAGAGTTTAATTGAATCATGACGGAGCTCCGGTTAAATAGTTAACTTAAGTCTTCAGAATTAAAATATAAATAAATCTAAATAATATATCTTTTAAATTAAAAAATACGATAAAACGCAACCCAAAACAAAGGAGAATGATGGGCGGCCGGATTTGGTTGGTGCTACTGCTTGCTTATAGTGGGAAATGTGAGACGTCGATTTTGTCTCCATCATTTTATGGGCATTTTAAGAAATCTCACCTTTTCCAAGTTTTAATCACAGCAGAACTATACTATTCTATCTGGTTTTAATGAATGTTAAAGTCTTATTCTTTATTATTAAACTTTAATGATAAACTTCAAACTACAAAATATGTGGTGTGATACGTAATACTTGTGCTGCTTCATGAACATGGAAGGAAAGAATCAGTGTCATACTAAATTAGATGGAGTAGATAATGGAATGTATCATATTTTAGGTAATTGGTTGGTGTCATCGAAAGAAGGGTGAATTCCTGAATTATTATATCAAACATTCATTATCCAAGTCCATGGTCCTCAAAGAAGCCTTGTGGCGTCTCCTCCTAAAATTAGACAAGAATAAAGACAATTTAAAATATTGCAAACAAAGGAATTATTATGTTTTGGGGGCTATTTTATAGAAAGATCATATTATTGAAGAAAAATGAAGTACCGGATAAATTTTGAAGTTTGGCTTTGTACTGGATTGACGATGGATTAATATCAGAATTAATTGTTAATGAGTGTCACACCATTATTCAAGTTTTATACAGTAGCACACTAATATTATATAGTATCAAATTTTTTATAGCACATTTTAAACAACTTTATTTTATAACACCAAAAATTGATTTGACGCAATGTACAACTGAATTATGAAAACCATTTGCATGCTCAAAGGTTGAGCAGAGAATGAAATTCATACATATTACTGTAATGGCGCAGAGTACTAATATTTTAGACGCCAGTCGTCATCATAAAGGGATTAGATAAGCCCATGTTCTTTTAAGATAGAGTCCATAAATTCATCCTTCCAGAGAGGCAATGCAACAATAACAAGTAACATTTCATATTATAGTTTAACTTTGAAGACGAATGTGGATAAATTCCGTGACCAAAAATATTTGCTTGTATGTGAAGTGCATGCTCCATTAAAACATTTATTCTTTGACAAGATTGCTAACAAGTAAAAGCAATGAATAGAGATGCCATTATGAGTAGCGTAGTATTTGAATTTGACACTGAATAACTGCCCAGAGCCACCAATTAAAATTAGTTACCTAATCCAATCCATTCAGGATCCTGTAGCGGCCAACAACATAACCCCGAAGGAATAAATAGAAGACACACAGTGAGAACAACAAATAGTAGTGTTAGTAGTGGTGAGTAAATAAAACATTAAATACTACATTAAATACGACATTACAAATGAATACATTCACATCATACACGATAAATAGGCCATGCTAGAACAGCATGTCATGCAAGGCTATCTTTCATGGAAAAGGTTATACATATTGTTTCAGGTGCCAATTGTTGGAATCTCTCATGCTTTGTGAAAAACCGAATCACATTCCAACTGATTATTTATTCTGAACTAATATATATCCTTATGTATATGTATGGCAAATGGGTACTACAAAAGCTAATACATACTATAATGTACTTGATTTGATTGTACATAAAAAATATTTTACCACAATTCTCAACTCTATTAGATTCTATCAATTTATCAAATAATTCAATGTATATTAAAAATACTTCTACATAAGCTACTTACTAGTAGTGTCTACAATAATATACCAGCGAATTTAAATGTACTAATATTTAATTGAAATCATCTCAACTTGAATTTTATATCCACATAAGGAAGAATGCATACCTCGCATATTTTGTCCTTTATAATCATGATAATCATGAGCAGGTACAAAATGAGCCAAAAGTACAAGCTCTTTTCGCGTCGATTTCACCGAATTTCCCAGAAAAAATCCAAAATTTATTTTCGGGTAGAAACATCAATATACCATAGGTCTTTCCGAATTATATGCAACCACCCCCCCTTCAAAAATTGTTAAAGGAAATCGTGAAAAATGAGAAAGTCAATGTACACTCGGCACAAAAAGAATAAGACCCCAAGTTGCATTTGCAATTTGACTTCCCCCTGGAATACGAACATTTTGATGCATCAAGAGTTTCAAAATTCGAAAATTGGCGGTTTTTTTGCATACACATAAATCCTTAAAAAAGTCATGGTCCCAGCCATTTTCCGTCTGACAACCTGATGCCAGAATTTTCTCCTTATTTTCTCCTACATTTTCAGCTTTTGTTGCCCGACGAGAAATGCCTGGGACCATGAGATTTTTGGGGTCAAAGTTTCTGTGGGAGTGACTTATACGGCAAGTGCCGTAACAAACGAGGGCTAATGATATACCAACATTTAAGTTTTTTATATTTTAATAAGACAACATTTAGATAACCCAGTATACTTAACTAAATAAGACGCATGATTGTGTGAGCGCGGCAAAGTGAGACGGATACGGCACTGACGCGCGATAATCGCGGATACCCACCAGAACCCGAATCTCACTCTGCCTCACGCTAAATATGGAAAAGAGCTTTGTAGTACTCTTGGTCTGGTTTGTATCAGCAACAGTTAGGATGACGAACCAGAGAAAGGATAACATGTACAATATTGTGAAATTGTAACAATATTCAATCAATCGCAGGAGTACAAGGCCAAACTTTCAAAAATGCCAACACTTATTAAAAATTAAGTAACGTTGCAAACAAAGCTATACATACAGTCGTATGAACATGCATTTTGCATCAGCATACTGCATGAATATCATCATTCTATCATTCCTGATTGGTCACAAATATTGCAAAGAAGATTCAAGCATTTTTTTACTCGTATTTAATTAGGTTATGAGAGAACGTAGTCAATTAACTTCGATTAATATCATATCAATTATTAATCGTTTTTTGAATGCATCTAAATCACAATACATCATCACAGTTCAACTGAATCAGCTCCATCAGTTACCTCTTGTAGGAGGTCCTGCGCAGCGATAGCTTTTAGCACATTTTTCTTGGATGTCTCTTGCACTTCGCCACCCAAGAGAAACTCGTCCAATATGAAGTACGCCTTCTCAAAGTTAAAGATTATGTCCAGTTCACAGACCTAAAACAAGTCAAATTATCGGAATTATAGCTCGCATAATAGAATATCTAGACGTACTATAATGGCTGTATAATTATTATTACTAACACTCCCGAAATATTTGTCTAAAAGTTCCACATATCGATGAATTATCTCGAGCGTAAGGAGTTCATTGTCTTGCTGTTCGATTGCACAACAAAAGTATAAGCTGGCATATCTGAAACAATAGCACATAAACAATTACTATCATATAATTATTATCCTAACTTCAGTATGACAATTCGATCAAAACGCACACCTGGTTTTAAGAGATGATAGTGTTTCTTAATTAATTTACCTTTTATAAACCACTTTCAAATCACGCCACTCTAAGAAAGAGCACATCTTAGGTTTTCTGGACAAAATGGTAGTGACCAACTCTCTCGTCGTCTTCTTTCGAACTTTATCAGGTTGTGCGACGTACCATTTTTGCAATCGCAACTTCCCTTGTCGACTAAATAAGAGCATAAAATGCATCTGCAAAATAAAACAAACAATTAGACAGACATTCGACTGTCGAATTTCGACACATAATAACATAACACGTGAAATGAAATATCGTATAGAAAATATTGTGTGAAATAATTATTACTGACCACCATCTTGATATTGATATTAGTAGGATTGCACCATAAAGTGGGTTATAACTTAATGTGTTTTTCAATTAAATCCAATGTTTACGAGAATGTCAAAATTTTATTTTATTTTTGTAATTCGTAGCAGCCCTTCTCTCGAATTTGCCACGTATACTCTTCACTCTCAACGTTTTGAGACGAGTTGCTGCTTCCTTTGGTGCATCCATTTCTCAGTTTTTGATCCATTGTAGAAATAATAGTTCTCCTAATTTGCAATTAAATAAAATCTCAGGATTTGGGATGTCTAGTGACCTCGTTCCGTTCGTATTACAACGACTGGACGGTCCTCAGAGGGTATTATCAGTGGTAGTATTAGTGGTGCCTTGGATTGGTGGAGAGAGCTGAAGAACCATTGACCTGGCCTCAGTGTAAAAAGGGAGGGAGTCCGACCAGCAACGTAAACTCTTGGTCACGTTGACCAGAAGAATGCAATGACAATAACGCATAACAAAATGTGATTTGTACAAGCCTTACAAATTATATAAAGTGATTTAGTGTGTAAGTGGACAGTTTGGTTGGTGGAACTTTCTCCGGAAATCCATTGCTTTAAACAATGCCAGGAAAGTACCTAGAGTACATCAAGGTAAATACAAATATTTACAGGAACAGGACCATTATGCAAAATGTGAAGTGAACGTGAACATATCTTTTAGTAATGTTGAGTGATATTTTTTATTTAGGCTGGACGATACGTTGTGCCAGTGGAATTGTCATTTCTTCCATCGAAATTGGTCGATAACGTTGGTCAGGAAATACTGACATCAAAATGGGTGGAAAGGCGACATTGGAAGGTTTGGCAATATTTTTGTCGTCGATTTGCGTTCCTGAAAAGATTTATTGATGTATGTATAATTGCAGGAAGTCAAAGCTATGCTAAAGCCAGCAGTAGAACTTGTTGGAAAATACAACGAATCTGGGACGGATAAGATATCAAAATCTCATCATATTTCGTTTGGCCAAGAAATTGCATTTGGGTAGGTTTTCACTTGTCAAAATAAAACGTATTTTAAATATAAAACGTTTTGTAGGTATTCCATTCATTTAAACAAGGACAAGTGTCCATTTGTTGCCGTCTTGGATGTCAAACACAATGTATGGACAGATGACGAAGATGGTGAAATAGACGAGAACTCAGGGATAGCAGACTTTGGTGGGAGGCATAAAAATTTCACGCCTACAAAATGTTACATTCGAGGATGTGTCACTAAAAAATCTGGTTCACAAGTGGAGGATGGGAAAAAAATTCGGAAAGAGTTAGGGGTCAAGAATGACGATGTTCGGAACTATTTTCAAACATCACCTTCCAGCTCTGGGTCAACAACGCTCTTTAGCGTCACTAATCAACCAGGGATGGCAACATATGAAAAACCGTAATTTAATTTCCTGTTTTTTTATTGCCTGATGAGGTTTGCAGTTAACATATACGAAACCTCGGGAAGAATAAATATCTCAAAAATATATCCTCTAAAGTACCCTTCAAACCAATAATAGACTTCCTGTTTTTTATCATATTATATAAATATTTTAATTTTTCGTCAAGATCCAATAAACTTCCTTGCTCGTACATATATTACCACGTTTTGTTGGTTGTAATCCATTGAAAAACCTTATTTGCTGCATAATAATAAATTTGATTTTCTTATCAGGCATAAAATCAAGACAGTGAATCGAAAGAGGAACAAGTCCACCAAGAACAAAAGACGATCCACCAACAGCTCCCACATTCGCCATGTTCGAGATTACAGTAGCTCAGAAGAGTCTTTGATGGACTTGGTAATACATATAACTTAATTGTGATCCTCTTGTGTACGTGTTGATCATTAGCGTCGCGTGAAATGCACAAGTTATTACAATTGAACCTGAACCAATGCCAAGTCCCTCCAATTATTTTCAAAACTTCTTTACCTATGATATTCTCTGTTTTGTAACTCAGCCTCCTCCTGGGTCATCTTTGTCATGGCCGCTCGCAGCGACCTCCCCGGCAGTGAAATTGGGAGGCACGATGAGCAATACCACCGTTGCACCTCAACAATGTTCCCCCATTGAGCTCCCAACCGAGTTGGATATACTTGATAGTATAGATGTAGATATTGACGGAACACCCGTCGGAGGCGATATTTTAAGGTGAGACAAAGATGATAAAGCTTTGCTTCCACCATGTCACATAGAACTATAGTTTTTAACTTCCCCTTCAATGAAAAACTTATTTTCTCATATTAGTGATTCTGTCGACGAAGTATTCAGTTCTTCCAGCCTATTTCGAAATTGGATTGAAGATGATGATGAAGACTTTGACGAAGAACTTCCCGATATTGAAGAGACAGAGGCAAGTGTTCATCACCACACAAGTAGAAAACCTAAAAGATCTGCTGGAAACCGAAGGAAATTTGGAAGCGACAAAAGCAAAAGTCCTGCGAAGAACACGTTAACGTCAGGTTTACCTGATATAGATGATACAAATAAAAGAGGAAGGGCCAAGAGGAAACGAAACGTCGCAATTGTTGAACCAATGAAACCTATGAAATCTACTTCAACTGGACAAATGTCATTTGAAGAAGCAGTCGGAGCAATGAGTGTACCCGCAATCAATGTTACTGAGAGAAAGAAAAGAGCCAGATCAACTGGGTCGCCCACCATGGATCGGAATCGTTTTAGAAATAATGCCAATTCTGCTATTGAGATTGTTGGTGAAGATACTGAAATGCCTAATAATTCAGACGCACGGTCATCCCAAGGATCAGCCGACAAAAGAAAGAGGAAGGATGGTATTATATTATTTTATTTAAAGGTTTACTAGCATTTTGATATTTTATTTATTTTTCCTACCTTTAAAGTGAAGCAAAAAAGGCATACAAGAAAAAGACGAGGCAGTTCACCATTAAATGACAGGTTAACCCCTAGCCCATTTCCAGAATCTCCTGAAGAGGATGTTGACATAAGACATGATGATCCCGACGAAGTTGATGATGAAGATGATGATGAAGATTCCTACTCGGGATCTGAGCCAGAAATGCCCGTATTAGTCAAAATGGTTCCTTCGTCTGATGATGATCAAAGCAATTCTGCTATGACGCCACCAGAAAGCCCTGGTACAGTTCCACCTCTCGAGCCTGCTGAGCCAAGCATGATTATCACAGTCCAACAATCGGAAAAAGTGCGACGTAGCCTTAGTCCTGATATTGCTGACCACTGTGTTCATTCCATTCATACCACTGTGCATAGACAACTTTCTAAGAATTTTTCAATTAGTGACCATTCTCAAAATTTGAATTCTTATAAATCCTCGTCACAAATTATAACAAAAATTCTACACTACCATGCCAGTGACTCTGACGATATTACTTCAGGTATGAGTAAAAATTAGTTTGGCAATAAATATTAATGTATAATTACTAAACAATTATATAATTACTTCAGAGTCAGCATACAGAAAAACTCCAATTCGTCGGAAGAGAAGAAAGAAATTGGTTCCTGGATCTTCAACAACCAGCGCTTTCAATTCTGCTCACCAAAGAATTTATAATAAATTTCCAAGAGAAAGAACTAGTGTGTCACCCAGCAAGCAAACTGGAGACGCTCAGACTCAAACTACTTTTACAGTCCCTTCAATTTTAGACATTGGAGAAAGAAATCATCCCCGTGACCAAATAGCTGAAGTTTCTGAAACGGCGCCCAGCTCAAACGTTCCAGAAAAGACATCTGCAATCGCTGTTAAAACCGAACGTACTAGCCAATCGGACAATGATAGCGATCATGTACGAGAAGAAGCCTCCAGCGGTGAAGATGATGATGATGTCCTATTTGCTGGACAGTATTTTGCTATCCCTGTTGTAACTTTAGATTCCCCAAAACGTTCTGTAGATCAATATGAAGATGAGGACGACGAAGAGCTCTTTAGCTTTGATAGACCAGCATCAGTTAAAATCGAATGTCAGTCCATTAATTCCGTGGATCACCCAAGTAATCCGCCTGAAGTAGAACATAACTCAGTTAATAATGACGAAGCCATGATAGGCGATGATGATGGTTATGAATATTCGTTCGACTTTGTTGCTCGTTCTCGAAACAAAGCTCATGTTATATCAAGAACTGGGGGTCCCCAAGGAAGTGATAATGTTGTGAATGCATTGAGCGATAACCCTGTGATGGTAGAAATCCAAGTATCATCAGAATCAGACAACCACCGTGATAATGACGAGTGTAACCACCAGCGAGTGGAAAACTTGTCAACATTTCAGTTGATGAATCATCCGGGAACGCTTCGTGCAGGATTCGGTTTTTTGAATAAAGTCATGTCCAACAATGGTAAACGAGACAATATTTACAAGCGGTTTGGATTAGATAAAAGGGAAAAGAAAAAACACAATGAACAAAGCAGCAGAAAACAAAAGGATGATAGCGATCTAATGCCCCCTCCACCGGCAAAACGGCCTGCTAGTCCAGACATTTGCTCCCTGAATCCTGAACAATGGCTGAAGAAATCAAAGTCCACACGACCCAAACATCATAAGAATAATGACCATCACCACAGTTTAGAAATGAATCGAGCCGGTAGTCCGATACCGGGCCCCAGTACTGGGATTCGGGCTAGCCCAATGACAAACTTTGATGTTGACGATTCCGATGATGATGATTCAGATGATCATTATCCGAAAGGAGTTGGACCATACTGGAGAGAATTCATGTCACGAGCTCAGGAACCACAAACCGAATATCAACCCAGAGGTAGAAATTTCTGTTTATATTTTGTCTTGATGAATATTTACGTAATACATTCTCGCATACAAAATGTACATGAACAACTTTTTTCAGGAGACGAGTATGATCTCACTCAAGGTAATTTAATGGAATAACTTTTTAAATTTAATTATTACTCATAATTCTGATATTTCTGGTCAATTTCATGTACGACTCTAGCTTCACAATGCATGCCAGCAGTAGTACAAGATTATGCAGAAAAAAGTAGAACATACAAAAAGCACACAAAGTAAGATTTGAAGCAATTAAATAATCTTTAACCCTGCAACTAACAATAAGTGATTTCTGCGTTGGTTGATTGCAGGAATATAGAGGACATGACATCTGACCAATTCAAGCAACATTTTGAAATAATTAGACCACAAATTATGGACATTGTTGAAGGCAAGGAGGAAAGCTTACGGAACCAGGTATAGACATTATTCAGTTGTCCTCTCTTCCCGTTTCAGACATGCATGAAAGTTGATTCTGTTATTATAAATAGTGTCATTTTATTTATTACTCTAGTTATACTGCAATAAAAGTCATCAAGATATTCGCACGTTAAAAAGTTTAAACGTCATCACTCCGTTTCATGAGGAGCATGGGAATACATTGAACACTTGGTTGTACGATCTTTTGTTACCATACTCGGCATCAACTCTAAAGGTACATAATTATTCTGCACTTGTCTTTATTGCATTAGTGAAAATAATGTCAATGTATTGTAACTGAATGAATCTTTAATTTTCCAGTGTGCCGACTATGTAAATTATGTAACCCGACCGGAAGCCTTTATTCGAATATATGCATTAGTAAATGAGATTAGCCGTCAGACAGCAGAGAAAGAAATGTTGGCAGGCCCCTGCTACGAAGGTCCCTACAAGGATAGTTGATATTTGTTAAAATCGTAAGAGATTAAATTAGTTAGAATTTTCTACAATTTTTATGAAGGCTCGTGAAGTTGATATTGACATTGAATATGACACATTTTATTTTCATAAGTTTTGTAATATTTTATGTTTTATTTTATTTATTCAAACTTTTCATATTACGACTGACACTGTCGTTAATAGATTTAACTATGTATATTTTTGCGTGTGCGCTGAGATGAAGAAAATGTAATCGTTTCTGACTAATTCTAATCACTAATAGATAATAATAATCACTTTCGCTGAAAAACTGCACAGGCACTTTTCTTTCGTTCAAAAGTTACAATGTCACAAATTTTATTTTATTTTCATGGAATGACAATAGTATTAATATTCAGAAACATTAAAATTTTTACATTCGTTATAAAATAATCAATCTTGAAGTAGTACAAAATATTATCCAATGTTGCATTATCCTAGATATTTATCTGCCGTTTTCTAATAAACTAACGATTTGACTTATTGTAACTATTTTTAAAACCATTTTTATGCGAATATACACCTTGTTCGAGATAATTAGCAATGTTATAAGGAATTGCGATACTGCCGTAAAAGGTTACAGGAGGACGTGAGATAGAATGTATAAAAAAGTGTAGGGAACACTATAAAAAGGAACATTCAAGCTTGAAAAATGGTCCCACACGTTCAATGAGATTTCATGGTACTAAAATATCAAATTTTTGAGAACTGAATTTGTGTTGCTGCAAGGTAAATATTGGTACCTTGGCGGTGTTAAAAATTCGAAAATGACCCGAAGCAGTGTTTCTCAATCTTGTTGAACGATGTATGTAATTACTGACACTGTTGTATTCTTTCATATAAAACTACAGTGTACAAACAATAGAGAAATTTGTTGTGTATATATTTGTATAATCTGAATCACTCACGGCCAATAGCCACCACTAAAATCAATGCAATATTAGAAATATGCATAAAAATCTCAAGTTTATAAATCCATATGTATATTTCCTATAAAAAGGTGGACGAATCATCGCGACAAACAAGTCTTATACGCAAATCTCCTTGAGACGATACTAAAGAGGAGTTGCTCCACGGCGAATTGTTTTCTACCTCCTCAGGAATATCGGGAATCGAATTTTCCTTCCAGCTGTAAGTGTTTGGTAAGGAGGACTCGGTTGGCCGTGATTTAATAAAACTAAAATAATCTCTCGTACTGCTAGAATAAAGAAAGGTCAGATTATAAGGGGTGTGGGGTATAAATAAAGTAAGGTGGCGTGGTTGTGATCTGACGCCATCCAGTAAAGAAATCTTCAACAAGAAGCAATATTACCTGCTAAAGACGCAACTTGGAAAGGTTAGTGGACAAAGAGTCAGAAGCTGAAGGAAGTCCGTTCGTGGACCCATTATTACTCCCATGCTCTTTGCGATAATTTTGCCATCGGGCATCATCAGACCTGGAACAATAATCAATGCGCATTTATTTAATGATCATCACAAGGCAGCTCCTCTGTTGTGGTACGCATTTCTTACTCGTGAGTTAGGTATCTGCATCCAACTTGTCTCTCCAACTCCTTGAGCTAAAAATAAAAGAAATCTCGTGTCAATATTGATAACCATGAATATAATCCTGAGGACGATGCTGAATTTTATGACTGGAGTTACTGATGCAATGGATTGCAAACGAGTATCATGTTAAAGTTTGAATTCCATAATGTTAAGGACCCAGTTAATGTAGAAAATCAACAGAAAAATAAAATCTGATTCGCTTACGTCACACCAGGTTTGGTAGTCTTGCAGCCAATAATGATTCAGTGACTTGTCCACTGTATATCGCTTCCTCTGCTTCACTTGGAGTAGGTTATTTATTAAGTCGATTGCTGCAATTGACAAACACAAAAGAATGCTCAATTATTAGTCACAAAGGCCTTTACGAGATTACTTACAAGAGGTGTGTATATATATGCACTTACCTTCCGGGGAAATGGTTTTCCAGGGGTTGGGTGGGTACATGAAGGCAGCGTTTTGAATTTGATCGTTTATATCTTAACACACATTTCACATTTAAAACACAGCTTCATAAAGTAACTTTTATTACTCAAATTACCTTCATCTTCGTTGAATGGAAACGTGCCACTCAAACTCACATAGATTATGACTCCTATATCATAGTTAGATTATGTAGTTATGAACGCATTATATTATCTGCATACATACGCATGTACAGATATTTAGATAAAATCAAATACTAACCCACGCTCCACATGTCCAAAGACCGATTATAGCCCTTATTTCTTAATACTTCTGGAGCTGAAAGTGACAGAGATGTAATGTACGTATTAGAAGATTATCGTAATTTATGTGAATAAAATTCATAGTCCCTTCTGCCGTGTGCGATGTAATGTGTAATCACAGCAGAATTGCATAGCAGATTTATACGACTAACTTGATTTTGACTCATCAAACACTAAACTGGGTTATCTCAACATTGCAGCGTTGTAGCCATATTGTTGGAACTCAAGATGATATAATAAACTCGTAATTTAATTCGAACATTGACAATTAACCAAGGTTGAATGGACGATGATAAATGAGTGATCTGTTGTCAGCCTGAACCCACAAAGTTGAACCAACTAATTACGAATTTTATATGTAAATTAAATCCTCTATGCATACGAAGACTGGCTTTGGAAAACCAGATCATCCTACTCATCTCGAGTAGTAATTAAAATTCGTCTAACCCAATAAGCATTGCTTTATTAGGAGATTTTTAGATAAAACTAAAACTAAAACTTTTCATTAAACTTGCAATTACCTAAATATGCTGGAGTTCCAACGACTGATCGTCTGCAACCAATAAAAATTGTGTTAGATTCGTCTACCTTGTCCGTTTACGATTCTTAGGAGAAAAAGATTTTGTACATAGATATCAGTCCTACCTGAATGACTTTTCTCCTATAATTCTAGCGAACCTGTATGAGAAACATTTTTTTAGTGATAATATAGCAAAACAACTAAAATATTGAATATATACTCATTTACCCAAAATCACACAGCTTGGCTTGGGGAAAGCTTGGGAAAGTATTATTTTTCAAGTTAGTTAATTAATTAAGTTGTCTTGTAAAAATGTCGAAAGTCATACAGTTTATTTTTATACACAAATCTCGTCCTATATAAAAATACGCAACATCAAGTTTGCAGGGAAATTTGTTTTGATGTCATGTAAAATGCCTTAAGGCGGAATAGCATGCTGGCTGATGCGGGGTTTTTTGTTTGAATTGTTGTGTCTCAACTTTCCCTTCCTCCATGTATTCAAATGGCGATTTTGAAAAATGTTCACCGCCTTTCGTTTTTAACAATATGAAGATATTAATGCACCTAAAAATCGGTAATTTTTAGGCTTACATAGTTAGGAGATAAAAATTTTGATTTTTTCCTTCAACAAGAAGATAAATATAAAATAGATGAAAAATAATCAATAAAATTTAAATATTTCCTCATTGAAGAAAAAAATCAAAATTTTTATCTCCTAACTATGTAAGCCTAAAAATTACCGATTTTTAGGTGCATTAATATCTTCATATTGTTAAAAACGAAAGGCGGTGAACATTTTTCAAAATCGCCATTTGAATACATGGAGGAAGGGAAAGCTGAGACACAACAATTCAAACAAAAAACACGTGATACAATGCCACGTTAAGCGCAGATTTAATGCGTTCTTTTGGGTACGAAATATTTCATCTTGCTGAATAACATTATTTGAGAATTTAGAGGAGATTTGCGTATACGAATAACTTGTATCAGATTTAAGAATAACAGAAACTAGTACTCTGAATCTGAAGAAAGGAGGACGTTTTCGGGTTTTAGATCACAATGGACAATGTTCTTACTATGCAAATGTTTAAGAGCAACCAGGATCTAAAAAAAACAGCAAAACGACCAAGTTTTATATTAAGCATATATGTAATTACTAGAATGAAATTGGTTCATCAGTCAATTAAATTCATTAAAAATTCATGAACGTGTACGGGTAAGAAATCATTTTTAGTTTGACACCTACTTGATAACTCAAGTACTTGGAAATTCGTTCAGTGAGCCTCTCACGCGACAGAATCATTTCGAGCATATCTCCTCTCAGCTTCTCCATTACCACAAATATTCTGAAAATTCATATTAAAAGTTAACATTTAAAGAGTGTTAAAGATTGACTACTTAATAAAGTAAATGAACTATTAAACTTACCGCTCTGGACTTTCGAACATTCTTTCCAAATTTACAACACCTAAAATATGCTCACAATTATTTCATTTTCCATGCATAAGAGGTACGTACATGTGTATATGTAGCATACTTATTCATGTGTATTTACCTCGATGTGATATATTTTGTAAGATTGCAACTTCGTTTTTAAGTTGATCTTCCTGTTTTCTTGGGAATCTTAACTTGTCAATTACTTTAATCGCTACTGGTCGGTTGGTCTTTCGATGTACACCTAAACACGTACAAACCAAAAAGATACAAAAATAAAGAAAGCACTCTTTCCAAACTTTAAAGCTGCTTCTGATCAACTTTGATCCTCTCAACAATTTTGCCAGACTCTTAGAGAAAGTCAGTAAAGAATTGCACCACAAAAAGCTTTATTGTCTTTCATGTATGAGCTGTTCTTTTGCCAACAAAGTTAAACAAGAATCTTGTCCCCGATAATAGTAGTAATCTTAAATTTCATTTACTTCCTTTCCGAGAAAGAGAGACAAAGTTTCTTCAACTTATTTGTCATGTTATGTACATGTACTAATAATACGCAGGATCCGCTCCGAGTACGGCGGCATAAAAATTCATAAAAATTACCTCCATAAACAGTTCCAAACTGTCCTGACCTAAATAGAAGAACAAAAAATGAAAGAACGGCACAACTTATACAGCAATTGACAAGCAAGTTGTTCAACCTACCCAAGAACCTCATCTGAAAAATAGTAAAGAATAATTTAGCTTACAGTTTAAGGCTGATTTGATGGGACAATTTTTAACTTAATTATTCAAAGCATCTCACCAGGAAAAATTTGATAAATTTGGCTTATCTCTGTGATACGATCTTCTCTCTCGTCGTCCTTTCCTGTATCGAGCACACACAAAAAGATGGATGGAGAAAGGCAAACCGGATAAGCGTGACATTTTTATTTATGGACTTTGCGTAAAATTCGTACGGTTGGAGGCAGCAATGCTGGCTTGCGGAGTGATGGGCATGAGAGCTGCCCGAATTGCGGTTTCCCATGACTTTGCCAAATGTGTGCCAATACCAGTCTCTGGGGGAGGAGTCGCTTTTGTGAGATCTTTTGCCCCATAGAGTGGATCTTCTCCATCAGGTGTCCCGATGTAGTAGTCCACATTTGCAGTCCTTATCTCGAAGCAATGCATGTTATCTAGAACGAAAGAAACAAAATGAAATCATGGTCCATCCAACACAAACAGTTTGGCAGCGTTCTATGCATTTAGACTTGAATGAGAGATAAGCACGAGCAAAGTTTTGTCCATTGCAAACGATAATAAATTTGTGAGATTATAGGAAACGCAATACCAGAGGAAGGACAATAAGAGAAGTTGGTTTGATGGGTAAAGTAATGCAGAGAAAGTGGAGACCAATCACTGAAAGGCACAACAACTTTCCCCCTAAATTTAGCCAGGAGTGGTTCAAACTTAGGTTGTGTTGATTGAATTAATTAAATATATAAATTCTATTTGCGGATAAATAGCTGTACTGTGAAAAATGCTGGGTCCTTTTGAAACCATTGTGTTAGCAAAAGGTAATAATAAACATAACACGTAACAGATATATTCCCTAACTTACATTGCGTATTTTATTGAGGAATCTTGGATGGGTATAATCCCATTGATTAATGAAGTCTTTGGCTTGTTTTATAATTACATGGACGACAAAGCAAGAACAATACTCAAGAATCCTTCAAACACTGTATGCATACACACTCGCAAAGGGCTTTGAGGCGTATATCTTATTACATTTACATGAAATTGGATTAACTGACGGCATAAACAAAACCTAACGACTGGAGAGAAAGCAATGCAAGACGAGGCCAAGTTGCTACATAGCTTTCTCTCGGATTACAGTTACAATTGTGCCTTAAGCAACAACGCAAACTTGTGGACCGTGCACTCATCCATTTTGCAAATATCTTCTTATATACTCACTCACTACAGTTTTTACTACATTGCTCCCTTCTATGTTACTGTACACTTTATGGATACGTATTTATTTTAGGCTGGCTGAGATTGGAGAAAATTGGGATGTTCTACAGCAAAGCATTTTGTTTTAATCCTTCCTTTGGGGACAAAGATATGCGCCACTTGGATCTGATTACCAAAAAATGGATGCAGGGAGATGAAGCAAAAGCGGAAAAAAGTCATTTCAACCTAAAACGTACTCACCTCCTTGAGGTGCTTTGGCTGGTTCGATTGATATTATTTCTGCTAACGGGATTTCTCTAAAATATTTGCTGAAATTTAACGAAATTATACATTAGGCCATCACTCGTTAATATTTTTGGTGTAATATTTTAATAGCATTATTTATCATGCGAAATCACCAAACCCAAGCTAACCTTGTGCTTTCACTCTGGAAAAGTGTTAGGGCTCCAGCTGCATCCAGTCTCCAGTAATGTCGTTTTTTCTATAAATTCATAAAAATCCACATGTTAGACCAACGTACAAAGAAAAATATATTCCGCACAAAAAATAATATTATATATGCATTGGCTGATCATCATCCATCCAACTAAACGAACAAAACCACTCTGTGTGTGTGCATGCTTGAAGGAGCAGATTTGTTGGATATTGCTAAATTTCTTATGGAGGAATAAATCAAGCCGTATTTTTATGAGGATGTCAGGGCGAGCAAAATTTATTGCAAGGGACACTCCATCCAAACACGCTCTGGCTGCACTTTCACTTTTGGCAGAATTGCTCCCTCATAGGTATTGCACGAGCTCTGAATATCCGTTCATAACAAATACATGACAAAAGATCCACTCAAGGTCTGGGTCTCCATCCCAGTTCATAAAGTCGGAAAAAGGTCACGTCCATGCTTTCCTTAAGCTCTTAACTGGTATCCAGAGAATTGGTCGCACTCTTGACGTCTATGTACGTATTTACATGCAGCTTTGCAAAATGGAACCAAACGCACAATCCCCTCATGATTTACATTACATAAATCCTCACTATTTTGTGTACCCTTCTTTTATTTAAACTGCTAAAACCTTTTTAACTCCTGTGAATAAAGGAAAGTTTCCCTACATATAAATACGACCAGACATTTCACTGGACCTTGAATATATAAATACTTATGTTTACGATACAGCTAGTGTACAGTAAACAGTAGCAACTTTACCAATTTTCCGAAAAAAGTAGAGATGATATTAATAGATAGCATCGTAGCTATTTACAATTTCCATAACTTTTCTGATGCTACTTCAATAAAGTCAAAGGCATTTTTATTAGGCACGACCTATTTCAACCCAACCTCTGCAATACATACACATTATGGTTTGCAGGCATTCACAATACACCACAGAAAAATATTATCGTACGCACATACTAAATATACATTGAAATTCTGCTTCCTTCTCTTTCCATTACAGGAAACGTTGGATTTGTTACACAACGCAGTTTCTATTTGTCAAATTTATGTGATGGTGAAAAGCGAGGCACTCCGTTTTATGTTGCTTTCCTCGCCATTCTTTCATTTCGAGCGAAAACCACAAGTATTTAACCATTGTCTACTTACTACAGGCTTCTTCTTTTTTTTCTATTCCCTCCGGACTTAATATACAAATTTTATATATTTTTCCATAAACTAAATATATGCGGTGGTGGGCTTCAGATGAGGATGATTTCATGCCCTCCGTCTGTCCAACAACTGGAGTCAATCTTCTTTTTTTCTTTATTGAAAATATAAAAGGAACTTTTTTCTCTTCATTTTCATTGCATTGCATAATATATTACTTTCCTCTTGTCATGCCTCCTGTAGAATTACTCTCATGGTGTCTTTGCTCATGCTCTTTAACACATTTCGCATTTCCAATTCCATTCTTTCGCATCAGAGTTTTTCTTTGTAAGACGCCTTATTTGACAAACAGTGCACATTTGTTGTGGCTTAATGAAACCCCGAGCCCTTAGACTCTTGTGGGAATTAGGACTAGACTGACTGAGTAATCCTGACTCCAATGATGTCGTTCTTCATGTGGATGAGTGATTAATGAAATATGCAGGGATGCGAGAGACTATAATAAATATATTGCCCTTCGCCAAATTCCAGCAGACCGATAACGGCAGTCGTAGAGGATAATAGTCCTCTGACAATTAATGTTCCCCATCATCACATCAGCAAAGAACAGGATTATCGGGCTACCTCTTTCCCCATGATTAAAATTAGTTTGAGATGTGCCCATAATGACGACTTGTGTATCTACCCATAAAGTGTCATTAAATTATTCATTCACTCGTATGAAATAGTCGGAAATACGTTAAGTCATTCTTGCATGTATCTATATGTAGGCATGTACAATGTGCATGTGTATTCCTGCATCAGTTGTCTCTAATTTTGCTTGGAATAACAACTGACCGACCGACAACCGATGATCTCTGCAAACAGAAATAGTTAATGGTATGATTGTAGTATGCATCGATCTGTACAAATTTTAATCTCTGCTTCGTGCCCTACAGTCATTAATAAGAATAATGCACTCAGGTAGAATAAGGAAGCTCATTGGCGTGTGTGCCCAACGTGATAAGGCTTTTAGCAACAGACTTAATTAGGTTGAAGTTGTTTGGTTGATGGATGATGCTTTCTGCTGATTAAATGAGGGTGGAAAATACAAACTAGTACAAAGTAAGCTTATTAATTTCAATTAGCCACGTTTGCCATTATGAGAATTGAGAGCAATCGGCAAATGATTCGAAAGATTGTGCACAAACAAAAAACATACATATTTATGCACGACTACTTCACGCTGCACATATTTCAAATAAGGCGAGCACGTTGTGCTAAGTAATCGGTCTACTTGTCCTAAAGTAAATAGTTCCTATGAAAAGCCACTTCCGATTTTTTTTTGCATGAGTTAGTTGTAGAAATAAACGTGTAATGGATAAATATGTATCTAATAAATTGGGTCTCATTTTTCCCACAACAATCATATGCACAATCATTTTAGTGTTGACATGAGTGTAATTCTTGCAATTCATGAAACCATCATAACTATATTTAGGAATTATTTTTATGCTACAATATGTGTATTATCTATTATGCATAATTCTAAAAAAAGTAAAGATAATGGCTTACCGAGTTTTCTTTGTTCGTAAAGTGGACCATCCAGCCTTCCTTAATAACTTTGGAACCACGTCTCTTGGTGTGTTTCACAGACTGGACGATTCTCATCAAAGGGATATTGTTGCTCTGAGTGGGGCTGCAATTATTAATTCATCGTCAACTATGTATTACATGTGATCGGATTTCTGGAACCTATTTTACACGAATTCACGTATTTTTCAGTTTTCACAATTACATAATAATAGTCACAGTTCTAGTTATAGAATTACTGTTGCAGATTCAAAATGCACCATGGCCCTGTCGAATTTGAGACAACACGCTGTTAGCTGGTGGTTCGTTACACTGGAAGAACGCAGTAAACTTAGACGAAACAAATTTTCACCTCACCTCAAGTAAATTGAACGTCAGAATACTTGCACGTCAAAACTAAACTAAATATTTCAAGATTTTTCCTTTCGTGTATAGTTACTGCAGTTTGTAATGGTATAATATAATGGGCATAAATTCCTGATTATTACCAGCCACATAATAATCCAAATACAGCCGATGATCTGAGTTTCGTTACTGCTTCTGCGAATCTATGTACTTCGGAAACCCCCTCCTAAATATTTAATGGGAAAGTACCATCGTCATTTAATTCCCATAGAATGGGCAGTAATGCAGTAACGTTCGTCAGTCATTCCTTTACCTATTCTCGTGATTCGTAATAAAGCAATAATCATAACATCGCATCGCATCCTTCCACCGCTGGCTGGCTGGCTGAGCTGGTTAGTGCGAACTCTTGTTGAGATCAAGTTGCGCTGCACCAATTGCTTTTGTGAATTGCATTTACTTGTTCACAGTCGTAATCCTTTGAGTAAGTAAAGAGGAGCGTTGGAGCGCCAAGTTTTGCCATACTTACACACTTGCTTAAACCATAAAATCATCCAAACTGGCCTTACCCTACTTACTAAATAATACACTAAAACGAGCGACAAACAAATGCTGCTGCTGCTGTAAATAGCAAAATAAATGTGATAACAACTGTGAACCATATAATTTTCAACTGCCTTCTTTCTGGTCTCATTCTTGCATAGCGCATTATAAAGAATGAAAGACTATTATTTCAGAATGCAAAGACGTCTCGCATCTTGGGTGTCATTCAGTTTAACTCGCGTGCAAAACTGAGACCAATGTTATTCACATTTTCAAACCTCCATGTATCGTGATGTAACACAATAATACTGTGATGTTACGTAGGGTGATGGAAATCATGCACTTTGAGTACATACTTTTTGATATGATAAAATAAAAGGTGTGTGTGTGTGTATATGCTATTTACACAGTTGAGCTTCGAAATGGTCTAGCAGCTTAAAGCTTCGGAGGGGCATGAAGAGGCGTCGAAGGAATAGTATTTTCTTACCTGGCAGTTCTAATCTTCACCGGATCTTCGGGAGAATCGTGGTCTTCAACCTTCAAAAAATAGAGTTTACTTAGTCAAATTAATTTTCTCTGAAGAGCTCCTATACAAAAATATGTGTGTGGTAATATTGTACAGTTCAAGTCATTTCCACTCAAAATGTTCTGCAGACTATTATTATTTGCACACTTCGAATCTCAATCTTCTACAAACAAACTTAACCATACCGTAGCATGAAACCCGAGATTCATGGAATTTCACAATTCCAAAACAAATTTCACAACAAATATAAGTTTGTTGGGGTTCTCTGTTTGTCTATCCTACAATTTCTCTACAAAGTTGATGCTTTTGTTTTATTGCTACTTTTGCTGGAAACATCTGTCGATTACTCGAGAATTAAAATTACCAATGTGGTTTGCTAACTTTAATTCCACGCCATAATGCTCTATGTATATGAATATGGACCGAATGAATGTTTGTTATAAATCAAAATCAAATGCCACCATGATCATCATTATTTACCAAATGTCGCACAAGAGACCGTGCACAAATGATGCCACAAGTAGCGGAGAGAGGAAGCACGAAGCATGATGATATGTAATTAAGGGCGGAGGGGTCGAAATATTCAATTTCTGAGTGACGTCATTTGTGCACGGTCCCCAAAATGTTTGAATACCGAGAAAACTGAACAACGACCAAATACGAGGAAGCTTTTAAGGAACGACATATGCAGACACTCGGTGCGCATACACATAAATTATTTAAGCATATTTTGTCAGACAGACAAATATTCCGTTTCTTAAATGCATATCATATACATAAGTACATACATGGCAAAAATACATATGGTGAATAATCCAGTGGTAGTTAGAGGATGAAGTGACAGAAGTGGCAGAGTAATCTTGTAATCTGGATGACTTGTGTGCATATATTTACATATTGGAAGATTTTCTCATGGTTTAGTAATCAGGCGTTCTTGCCATTTTATGGAAAAACGGAAGTTGTAAATACAAAAATGCAAAACGCTCGCATTTCAGATTGTTCCATTACTCAATTATTTGTGGAAAATTAGATACCGTTTCCTGCAACATGTCAAAAGAGTCAGCGAAATAGGAAGGCACAGAGACAGACGATCTTGAACAATTCCCTCACCTTGACTTTCTCTGCTGCTTAAGTAATTTATTACTCTCGCTCGTGTACCACCACCACCTCCAACAACGACAACAATAAAGAACCCAACTAATATTGCCAAGAGTTCTTTTTTGCTACAAGAATTGTTCGCAGAGTGGAGTTAACAGGACCTCAATCAAAGTCTAGTCTCAGGTGGATGCAATACTGACGGCCACTCGCCTTCACGGTTTGATTAATTGGTATGCAATCTTTTTCTATAATAAAATGAGCAACTCTTTAGACAGTTTTAAGCACTTTGGTATATATACATATTTCGTAAGGAGTGTGTGGAAAATGAGCGTCATCTGGATTTCACAGCAACAGTAATTGGGATGCCCTTTCCATGCATGTATGCGATCAAATACAAATCCCTTTGTTCAAAAATGAAAGGATTTTGCAACAAATGTGGGGATCGACTGTTTCCAGTGTGTGTATAAAAGAGAGCAACCCGAATTCCACCACGACCACTTTTACTACTTTCTATCCAACCCAAACAATGAGCATAAGTGCACGCTTTCTCTTTTTGCGCAGAATTGTGCGGCTTTCCCCTCGTGATGAAGGATGTGGGATATGTGGAGGCAACTCTCTCTACTTTGATTACATGAAAGATGGTCACCAAAACTTATGTCCTTTGTTGTCCTTCTGTCTCTTGTGTCACACGAATGTAATCACTGGATTCTCATCCGCAGGCATAGAAAATAACGTTTTCTTTTATCTGCGCAATAACGGACATTATGTGGACTCAGCAAAAATGCTCCATTTGCCAATTAGATTTCAAGTAATTATTACGACCATTGGGACAAACTAGATATTCCATTTTACGACTTTCGACAGCTGGTGGCTTTGATGAAGTTTCCACACTCTGGAATCCATGCCACCGTCTGACCAAATTGCTTGGTCAACTTACTGCACTTTCTTCCGCTCGAAAGATAGGAAGGCAGGAAAAAGTATGTGGCGATGGATTCCGTATGCTTTCTTTACTTCATCTACTTAATCAATAGTAAATAAATACACAAGTACATGGCTGAGAACTCCACATTGCCCGGTCAGTATTGAAGTAAAGATAGGATTAGCACAAATATCAATTTTCATCTTTTTTTTTGTGGAACTGGTACGAGCTAGCTACCCACGCAAAACTAATTAGACAAATGAATTGAATATTTGGAGAAGTATGACCTAGTTGATGATGTACAACTACTAATAATTATTTATTGTTACGTCAAATAATACATATTCATCGTGTACCTGGCGTCTCTGTACCAGACAAAAGTATCAGAAGCCATTAACGCATTGCATACATACATACATCCTCTAGTCATGGGTGAAGGTATGGGATTGCTCGGTTCACTCTGATTGGTGGGAGGAGGATACTCTGAGATTAATTATCGCATCAAGTGTACTTTTGTGTTTGCTGAATCTACTTATCGTTCACTTATTGCGGTCGTGGATGTGGAGACCGACCCAAAAAACAGCACAAGCAAAACAAAGGGATAGGACTTCAGAGTTAGTCGCCTCCTTCAACTTTCATCCGACATCCACTTAATCTAATGCTCTTAAGCTGGAAGACTGGAGTGAAAACCGTTGTGTTCTTGATAAATAATCTCGTAATTCCTAAAGGACTTTCCTCACAACAACATGTATGTTTCAGCACAGGAAATGTCATGAGGGAACCCGAGAACCACGCTCTACGATAAATGAGTGGACGTGCAACACATAAATCGCCTAAAATATGGCAGAATTCGAAATCGAGCTCTTAATAGGTAATTATGAATCTGAGAATATCAATGTCTTGAAATTAATCATCAAAGTGAAAGTGACATCAGTGAATTTAACTAGTAACGTGTGCCATAACTGAAATAAGGAATAATGCATAACATTTTCTGCCTGTCTGAAGACCGTGTAAGGACGGCTTTAAAAATGTAGCTCTCGAAGCTTAGAGGAATAATAGGACTGAAATATTTTATTGAACTGTTGTGCCAGAACACGAAGCATCAGAACCCCTGCTGAGAATTTGAAATCTAATAAAATTTGAGATTGAAGTGTACCCGACTTGACTCGCAAGTGTCAAATAAGTGAGAAAAAGTGGTCTTACCAGTATCGGTGTGACGTTGCCATTGGGAAAGTGTGGCGAGGGGCTGTCGGCTCCTTCCTTGTACATTCCGGCTGGAGGAGAGCCCGAATCGTCCGAATCATCCTCCAAGGCTTCATTGCTGTCACGACTTCCGATGGATGGGTTCTTGTCAGACTCAAAACTTTCTTGACTCGACGCCTCGCCTGTGGTTCACCAAAAACCAAGGGCAGTTCAAATTTTTGATACACATGAAATAAAACCACTTTAAAAACCGCCCTTAAGCTAAATCACTTTACGCTGAGTTTTCTCGACATTTTTTTGCACTACAAATTGATTCTGCCTGTTAACTATATATGCACTTTTGTATGTATTTATATACAAAAAATTGTCTGTATACACACACATATGGATGTATGTACATAAGTATGTATATTATTAATCCTTCTACAGAAACTTTCTCGAGGAACGTTTGAAAATTGAGACGATAGAAAGGATTAGGAAGAAACAAAAGTTATTAGTACTTACAACGAACAAAATCTAATAATTACAGTTCCTAAACTTTCCCCATTACACTACTTGCATATTGACTCTTGAAACTTTGAGATTGTCCTTATTTGATTGCAAAGTCCCAAAACCCACTCTGAGTGAGCTATGCGGGTTCACCATTGTGATTATGTGTGCCTTAACGCATTACCATCACCAGTCGCAGGTGAGAAACGAGGAGCTAAATTGCCTGCAATGTCATTCCTATCGCGTCTCCGTGAAATGTTCAATGATGTAGTTTGGTGAATCAAAAAGTTTGCAAAAGTAGGATTGCCACGAGGAATGTTTCAAAGGAATTAGAAAACAGGTCGGAAATCTAGCAAATCTATAGGGATGAATGCGAAGAGAAGTGTGAAGGTAGTATATCAAACGATATGGAGCAACTTTCTCCATTATTCAAGGTTCTTTCCTACCGGATTCACAAATGGCTTATTGGTATTACTTATGCAACTTTATATTGGGGTAAAATATAAATTCCTTGGTGGGTTTTCATCTCTGCAATTGTTTATTTTAATATATTATTGCTGCTGAAAATTGATCCAACTTTAATAAAATGTATGAGTACATTCATCTGCGTAGTTTCGTACAAATATGTGTATGTACATGCATATTGTGAGAACATCTACATAACTAAATATGTGCTCTTAAAAGGCATGAGACAGTTTTTGCAACTTCTAAAGGCTTATGTAGCCCTTGGGAATTATAACCAGTAATTATGAAAGTCCTGCTGTCCAGAAAATGTGAATAACTAAATTCATGTCAGAAGCAGGAGTGCTTACGCTGTCATGCCCGTTATTATTACTACTCAAGAGAGGAAATTAAGATTCTAATTTGGATATTATTTAAATTCTTTACTCCGGGTGGAGAAAGTCGTGTGTGCTTTGAAAGCTCTGAAACATCTTGATACAAAGTAGGCTGACTATACACGCATACATCTCGATACATACTTATACTCCTCCCTTTTGCTGCTAATCAGCTTATGTAATTAGGGAGCAAAGAAAAAGTAAGACCATAAAGCACATAGATTAAGATGGGTCTTCATCGTTCATGCGGAAATTTGCATGAGCTTCTTTTTCTAAGATTCTGGCAGATTTTGCTTTAATTGCTACTCTTTCCTTACATAAACGTGTTTCCTGGACGGAAAAAAGATCAAAAATAATTTACGAACAGATATGAAATGCAAATGAGCTACGATAAAACTTGCTAAAAAATATTGTAGATAGAAACAAACCTGGGGAACAGTATAATTTGTATTCACTACAGGAAAAGTTTCTAAACACTTGAAAGTATGACATGGAATGTTTAATATGAAATAAAATATGGGATGCTATGCTAGTGCTGCTGCTACAACATTAAATGTTAGCATTCCTCTCTAGAATTTAAAGTAAAAGGAGAAGGATGGAGAAAGTGTTTGTTCAAGAAGATGAACGTTGTCTTTGGGAAGAATGGTTGAGTTTTTGAGTACCCTGTGATTCTAATTTAGATCAACCTCACGTCGTAGTGGGACGTCCAAAAAGGCAAAGTAAGTAAAAGTACAGTGTAAATGATTGATAGCATGAGAAGTGATTATATAAGTGACACTTGAAAAGAAGATACAACTCAAGCAACTTTCTCCACGATGATGTTTGTGATCCACGCACGAACGACTATAATTGAGTACGAGATCTCTGAGCTGAGCTCAGGCTATCTTAAATTCTGGGTTGCGGAAAATATCTTAAAATTAAAATTCAATAGATCGCATGCAGCAGTGAACTCAACACTATGTACGTGTTCAACTACTAATACTTGCTTATTGCGTCCGCTCAACTGTAATGCATACATATTTATGTGCTTACCCATATCCTTGGGGGCTTCGCCAGCACAATCCTTTGGGACTCTGTCCATGCATTTTTTGTGAACGTTGTACTTGCAGTCTCTGAAAATCATAAGTCGTATTACGAAAAATCATTAATAGTGCCGCACATTAAATGCTAATGGCACATCACCAAAGGCTGCGAAACCGTGGGGACACAATGTCCCCACAGAGTTTATTATGAGGAATGTTGGTAAGTAAGCCAAGCAGTTAATTCATTCCCACTACATGCACAATAAACTGTACTCCACATATTTATTAGGTGACAATGGAGAAAGTAAGGTTAAATAGAAGGGTGTTAAGGAGGAGGACAGCAAAGTTAAATGAAGGCCTTACCTGCACTGCAGTCCTTGTTTCAGGCTGAAATGCGAATGAGGTAACAATGAGTATTTTGAAGGTTTTAAATATCATGCAATATTATAATACATATAATTTAACAATATATGTAACTTACAATCCTTTCAGGAGTTTTTTACAGTACGAACAAACGGTTGGGCGGGTATAGGAGTGGACCATGAAGGTATGCGGGATTTTGATGCGACCTGTAGTACAGAAGTTTCTTGAATTTTAGTAAAAATATGCATCAGCCGCAGCTATTAATTAATGTTTAATAGCTACATCAATATTCGCGGTTTGCATTAAATTCGTTCGTAAACTGCATAATTGCAATATTAAAATCACCAGCAATTTCTCGTTCCACCCAAGGTGGCCTTCCTCCCAATGAAGGGGATCTGCTCCGACTTTTGCCATTGTTTGGTGATGGGGCAAGCTGAAAGTTAAAAATTTAACATCATATATAGCATCCTCCAATCCAGATCTCGTCTAGTGCACATATTCGTTAATGATAGCAATTCTTATTAAACCAGTAAAACTGATTTGGACTGCTATATACTTAAGCCATTTATCTGTGGAATTGATGTGCCAAAAAAGCAATTATTTAGTGGTGCAGAGTCTTTGCAATTATTCTTGGTTTTAATTGCCAGGTTGAAGAGACATTGTGAACTGAAGCTCGAGTTCCAGTCTGTACGTATGTGGGGAAGGAATAAGACTTGCAATTCGCGAGGTTGAACGAGAGAAAGTTAGACCTCAAAAGATCCAATTGGATTGGTTCAGATAATAGAGCCCGATTTTACTACGTGCCCGAACGCACTTTCAAACTAGGCAATTTGGAGCAGACGTTACTAAATAAAGGAAATTGTGAGATATAAAGTTCTGAGAACAAGATGATGAGACGGAGATTTGAGGGCACCGACATTTCTGTAACTGCTTGAACTTAGGAGACACAGTGCATGAATCCTCATTGAAGTGAAAACCAGAAAATTGGCCAACATACCAATATCTCAACTCGTGTTAGTTGTGAAATGCTTGCCGATGCTATTCCTCCAATAACAAGGGATGGCTCAGCATTTTATTTGAATTAACTCTTGGGCAGCTTTCCGAACACTATGCTGATAACTATATGTTGATATATATTGACAGGAAACTTGTATTTTTGGATATGTATGTACGTACATTTCTCATATTTTATCGGTACAATACAGCTTACAGTAATATTCAGAAGCAATATTTTCTAGATACTAGCACCACACAAGGCTGCTTCGTAAATAATAATAGTCCAGCTGTGTTATACAGCTATTTCGTAAACTTTACGTTATTCATAAAAGGCATCAGTAAATCTTGTAAAAATTAAACATACTGAGTATGCTTGGTATTTTTGATACTTTCACTAATTTCCACATATAAAAATACACACACAAGTGAGCAAAGAATGCTTACCAGCCCTCCAATAGTTGCAGGAGAATTGTCATCAGAAAGACCAGAATTGATCGAGCCAATTGAGCCAGACTCTGACGAACTCCGGGGTAGGCCCAAGAATGTTGAGGACCGACGTCTTTTCCCGTGGTAATTATTACTGCAGTTATTTGGAATCTTGTAGACACACCTTTTGTGAAAGTTCAAGCCACAACCTACAACAAGACAAGATAACAAGCTCATTGAATTACTTGCCTTGAACTCTAACTTTCGTTGAGGATAATCAACTTTGCTGGGCAGCTCACAGCGATGACAGCGTGCTCTGAATTCAATATTTAACCTTACAAAATCCTATTAGAAGTTTTATCATAGACTGACCTACATATTTAATGCAATCGAGAAAAATAGGACTTTCATTTACTTTCTTCTGGCAAGCTAATTATGCAGATTTTTAATTATATGACATACATATGCTTATGCACATATACATATTTATGTCCTTCAAATAGAATTGGGCGAAATTCGTATTGCATGCAGTGGTAATATTAATGAGCGCGCATATCACACTGTGCATTAATTCTTTATACCTGCTGTACAATCTTCATATGGAGTAAAGTGCATATGCAAAAGTTTCCAGTAAATGTTGGGCCTGGCTACGCTTTTAACTAGTGAGCCGAGACATTACTCTCGTCATACTTTCCTGGTCATCTATCTAACGCCAGGTCTTTTCTAAAGCTCCAAACTTTAAACATGAAAGTTTTTCCATTTCCTATTCTTGCTAAGTATCAAAAAGTCCAACTTAAACACAGATTTTTACAAGTTTGGGGTTAAATATTAGCCTCTGTGCAATTGATGTGGTACTTTATGGGGGTGGTATCAGTATTCTGTACATCTCTGAGGTTGCTCCTGTGCAATCAGTTCAAATTAATATTTTAACGCTTACCTTCACATTTCAGGCCCTGACGAACAAGTCCAAATAGCATTTCACCGCAACAATCACAAAAGGAAGGCGACTGAAATTTTATAATTAAGGAACAATTATTTCCTGAATAAAGGGATGCATACATGTCACATGTGCATGAATTCTTAGGAAGAACGAGGGTACACGGGATTGCATATTCTATTGCTTACTTTGTATGAATGGACGGAAAGACTGTGGGGTCGGATCTGGACACTTTCTTCTCCGGAGGGAGCAGAAGCTGCAAAAAATAATCACGAATATTTTCATTTTCTATCAAACGGCACTTGAATGTATTTATTTATTCGTGTTTAATTGTAAATGAAGTGAAAGCATATTATCAGTAAGCCAGGGCTTGTCACTAGTTCAGATGAACTAGTTCTCCACGTACGTACAACCATAGGATTAAATGTCACCAGAGGGTGAACTAGACTTAGGTAAGAATTATTCCATTCTGCGTATTGCAAGATGACTCATTTTAAGAAAGTTGCCGAACAAAAACTTGCGACGGATCATGTAAATCTAAAAATAGCCACAGAGAAAGTTCCACTTTCTTTTTTACTAACTTTATCTCTTTCGACTTAAGACGCTTGCTGTTTGCCTGGTGAAAGAGAGGAAGGAAGAACGGCACCACTGCAGAATCTTATTATATCGAAAGGCCAACAAACCAAAGAAAGAAAGGAATCGACTCAATGAATTTTAAGAGGTTTGGGATGCAACTGTTTTCTATTCAAAAGATCAGACGACGAAAGCGAGGAAAACAACAAAAACGACTTGAACCACTCTTTATTCTCCAAGCTAGAAAGCCGTACTGAATTCATCTCAACTCGTCAAATGTCAACCAAAAAACTTGTAGCAAAATTTACAATTCATGCCATTCAGTCAATGCATGATGGCATATGAACTGAACCAATGCGTAATATCAAATGATATGCGACCAGATCTACATACTTATTGTTAGTCCTATCTCAATGTGAGATTATGCACCAACATATCTGGGAAATAAATAAATAAAACCAGAAAATTTTCCCCAAGTGATTAAAATTTCATCCGCTCAAAAAACTGGCCTCAAAGTCCAAAGCCTTTTACTGAGTTTTCCTTTACTACTTAAAAGTACTGCAACCCCGTTTTCATAGGTTTGAAAGGTTCTGGTTCAATATCCGTCAAGTTCTTGAGAAAAAAACAGCGAGTTTATTTCAGTGATTTTTATCTTAAAAAATAATGCGACCCTTCCAGAATTTCACATTCTTTTGTGCAAAGTTTACGACAAGCAGTAAAATACGCCGCTGCTTTCACCAACAGGAGTCTTGAAGATTCGACCCAGTTTATACAACACAAGACATCATCACACCACATGGGAACGGATATAAGTTGATCCACTAGCAACAAACCACCTAAACTTTCCATTTGGCAGACTCCCTGGAATGCGAAGCAGCGAGAAATTTTCCAACAAAATAACTTTTATAGTCAAGATCGAAGAAGGAATCCTACACCTTCCAGAATACATATATCATCGACTATCGATATCGGTCTCTCTAAATTGCAGTAACGTTTTCGGGGTGCCCTAAAAACCTCACACTCGTCCCATCCAGTCTACCCCTCAACTTTTGCAAAATCAAAGTGATGCTCTGAAAAAGTTTGAAGTGCTCCCCATCGATATCTGTGTGAGATGTTGCATGCTCGCTGGCCTGCTGCATGGGTCAGCTGACGCAATGCCAATGATAAAATAAAATAAAACATGGGTGAAGTGTAATCAAGGATGAAAATTCACACAGCTCGTAACTGATTGTGAGTGTATAAATGAAATGGATCAACGTTTTATGGGTCGACGAAAGAAAAGAAGGATATGACGACAACTCGTTGTCGCCAACGTTGCCTGGTATAATAGGACGGTTTGTGAAGCAGTGCATCTATGTCACACACGTGCAATTCCGGCTGAAACGGAAATGCTGAATGCCTTTACAAAATTCTTTCAGTCGTCTCGTGGAATGGATTGGTTCACTTGACACAAGTATTGTTCCCTTTATCGATGTATTCAAACCACGCCTGCGACAGGACAACCTTTCACCTTATGGGATGGATGGCACACAGAGAATTAAAGTCGTCAAGTGAGTGTAAAGTGCTTTCTAATTGATTGAGTTTATGTGGACAAGTGACAGGAAGGTCTATAATGTTGAAAGGGTTGAGTGCAGAACCTAGAAAGCATCTCGCTAAATAAATATTATTCGCTTACAAAAAGTCAACATGTATTTGAAAGAGATAGATTCAATGATTAATCACTTGAAACTTTTATTCTTGTAAACTACAAGTTGTAAGGGAACCAAAAGCAATATTTAACACTTGCGCAATAACTACTGCAGTTGTAAAGTAGTTTGGAAATAATGCTTTGACAATTAGTGCAATTGTAGGAATAAATTATTTAATCAGGATGGACTAAAATAATTGAACGTGTAACAAATATATGTGAATGTGACCTAATTATGATATATTGAATATTAACGCCAATTTATCTTTGCACCCGCATAATATTTCCCTCTGGGAGGTAGTAGAGGGAACCGTGCCTTCTCCAAAATGTGATGGTTCTAATAAAAAAGTGACAGAAAGGAGTTCAGTTCGACGCCATACGAGTTGAGCATTCGGATCTCGTAGTGGTTGGTGAATCAGTGACTGACTGAGGTCAGGATTATCTTCCGAAATACGGACAGGTCGATGAGGGATGTGACCAGGCAATATAGTAGTCAACCTCTCGCCCAATGAACTCCTCGCAATCTGAACCAACCAAGCGACGGGTGCACCAACGGAGTGCACAAATAAATAGAGAGAGATCCGGAGGTCCAACAACTAATCCAAGCAAAAGAATCGGTACAAAATTACGAAGGAAATACTCGAAAGTTGCCCGTACATTCGTGAAAATGTCTGAGTAATAAATTCTATTTATAGCTCTCGCTTTCTCCTTTTCCTCTTCTACGCGGAACTTTTCCCAGAACGGACATTGTCCCCGTTATCTCCGTCTTGCTTTCTCCAACCACCAAACCAACCAACTCTTCCTTATTACCAAACACCTTGCTCAGACCAAGAGGAGAAGGTCCAGATAATTTTCCTCTCTTCTCTCAATCCTACATTACACAGCTTTGAAAGCATACTTGTTTGTTGTATATAAGCAATAATATACATATATTCACCCGTTAGTGATACACCACCTGCCACAAAGAGGCGTGCTTATGGGAGAAGTTGGGAGAGTTCATGGCAACTTTTTTTCGGAATATCTTTGCATATTTCAACATCGTAGATGGTACAAAAATTTCAAGAAAAACAGGAAAACTAGAGAAAATTTGAGATACAGTCGAAATTTGCATACTAAAGTACATTTTAACAAAAATATACTGAAAATTCGAGATGGCGTAAATGGTCGGATAAATTATAAAATAAATTCAATTGACATTTTACATTGGGAAATAGGTCCTGCATACGTATCGTCTCAAACTTAACAGCTAGCTATGGGACTTTCCGATAACCCCATAAGCACGCCGTTTTTCTCGACTTGAACCAAATGGTCTGGCGTGTTAGTAGTGCGTCAAAGGAAAATTCTTGTCCTTGCTCCCGAAAATAAAGTAAAAGAATTGTTAGTCCAATCTCTAACGTAAATAAATTCACTTTTCTATTCGATTGGCCAATCAAGAGGAAAAATATAGCAGGGAATGTTGCAATACTAGCAAACTTTATTTGTTCGCTACTTCTTTTCGTTCCTCGAAAACAATGAAAATTTTTAGAGTTTGCACAACAAGATGTATACAGTTACGTGATACGTATGTTTGCGTAGTCACGATATCAGAATTTCGAGAAAATTGGTTTACCTGTAAGCACGATTTCGACGAGGGTCTCATCATTGATCTCTGATGCCGAGTTAATCATCTGCAAAATGTTTGTAGAGCTGTAATCATGCCGGAAAAGAAGTAATCGCTCGTTCAATCGGCTCAGTCCGTGCTCTGGGAACTAAATACACAGAAAAATAAGAAACATTATTAGATTTAGCAATCAATCGCATTCGCTTCTTAATAATTTGAAACCACCAGCTCTCAAAAATCCATAAGACCACACAAAAAATGTTTATGTGTAGTTTCTTATTCTCCCATGTTCTCCATGCGTGTTTTTATACCCCTACGAGTATGACGACCTATTCGAACGTGTGATCTATACTATTTACTATCTTGCCACCCATTTTATGTGCATCAATGACAATCAAACTCTGCGCTGGGGGCACGAGATGAGATTTTGTATTGGTTTGCAAAGGATCATGAAAAAAGCCTGATCCGCTCAGGAAGATGTGAATGTACACGGTGCACGGTGTTTATTTTCGCTTCCGATACCGCCACAACGTCCATTATTCCCTCTGTGAAAGTAAATCACACTTTGTCGCTACGTCTGTCTAAGTGACGCAGATAGAGAATCACATTACATGATGGGATCTCTGGTCCCCAACATTTTCACCGATCCAAATCCCCACACGACTCGGGTGTGTGATGTCCGCGTGAAGGAATGACTGACTGCTTAAACATACGTCGAATGGAAGAAGAGATGACCCTGTAGCTCGGATGGAATTGCAAAGCTCAAGAAAGCAAACCAGCGAACCGAAAATGGGAATTTTATACTCGAACATAAATACGAAGAAAGCAATTTGGCGGATTCGTTCGTTGGTTTCGTTTTCCTATCAAATCCATTCCAACAGTTCGCATTCCTGGACCACCAAACTAACCATAACAAATAGCTGAGGGCTTAACTTGATTGTTCTGGTGAAAATTTAGTATCAATATTATTTCCGGTGCTGGGACCGTGGCCCGTGGAAGACAAAAGTATCTGGAGTTCTATTTCAATTCATGGTGCAATCCAATCAGCATCTGCTCCAAGTAAATCTTGATCGAGAGAAAAAATGTATGAACCGACATGTGACAAGGGCGATACTTCTTCATTAGACCAATATTTATTTACCATGCATGTCAGCCTAATATTTAGAAAGGAGAAACCCAAATCCACTCTGAATTGAATTTCAGGTTCCACTTTATTATCTCAAAGTTGTAATCTATAACAATTTGGATTTAAACCTCACATTATACTAAATGATCATCATATAACGTAAAAATGCACATATCTCAATCTTATCGCGTGTGAGAAGCCTACATATATTTGCCGTTTTCCAGAACTCTTGAGACCATTTTACAGAATGATCAATTTAATGGCTAGCATGAATGAATGAGGGGATCAAACTATTCCATCCTAATAAAAATGTACATAAGAAAGTTAATGAAAATTTAGTGCTTACTGCGATCGAAAATAGGTCTTACTTGATCTCACATGTTCTTATACACATGCATATACGCACTTATTTATATAGGAAACTGCACAGAATCATTGCAGAAAGGCCATTTCATGAACTATCGTGTATTTGAGCATGCAAAAACTGTCTTTCAAAGGAAATGTGAGTTTCTTATTTGTATTCGTGCCTATTGTCCACCATCAATTATTAAATTGTACTTACCAAGCTACCAACTCTTGAAAATTGATAATAGATGAGAACCGTTTTTCTGAGCAATGAGGCTTTTTTCAGAATTTGTCACAGATAGTTACGAGACCAACTAGATGACGACGAATGAGACGTTGCTCGTTGTCTACAAACTTGAACAATTCAATGAAGCAGAACGAAATCGGATTAGGAAACAAAATTGAATTTTTATACATTCAATTCGATTCAACTCAAAAACTCATCGTGATCGGGAGCACGCAACCGACGTCGCGACAGCCAGATCACGAGAACAGAGGATGATTTAAAGAAAGGAGGAAATATGAGATCCTGAATTTTACGATACACAAAGTATAGCGTTTTTAACGGAATTTGCACACAAAAATCAAAGAACACGGGACAGCCTGACCCATAATCGTTGTACTCGTACTGCTGAGTCCGGAGGAAACTTATAGTATGTACATATATACGTATTTGTTGGGGGTCTTGTTGATTTGATTCTGACTGAGCATAAAACTTGCAGTGTGTTCAAGTTGTTGAGGACGAGGAAGCAGGTAGCCGAAGGAGGATTTGAAGTTTAACTCAATCTATTCAACGCAAATCCTTGGAGATCACCTTTACCTGACTTTGATTTCGTTTTGCTTGACTTGACTCAACTATTGCGGATTCAGTCATGCAAATACTTAAAGATATTACGAGGAGAATCTTCCGCTTGTGTGTATTTACTATAAAAGCTCGTCTCAACATGTTCCTTTTCTTGCAATTCGTTGTTAATTCGAGATACAATAGCTTCATAAGCATAAATAGCTGAAATCTCTGCGCTCAAGAACTTAACGTGTTCTGGGTAGCGGGGTATATTCCTTAGATGACGGAAAACTAATGTTAAACTCGTACTACGAATAAATAGTTAGTAACGAAGAGCAATTGTATGCTAATTGTAAAGAATGATCCACGTTTATAATCATGATCACTGCACGATTTGTATTGCGAAACGAAATGCTGGTTTTTAACATTTGCACGTTATTTCTAAAATGTTAAACTTAAGACGTACTTAAGCTAACCTACATAAAGTTTAATTCTAGAAAAAATTGGTTGAATGTGCAGATCTATTTTAATCTCAGCCTTCTTGACCCTCTTTGAACGTGATGATGGAAATCATTAGGAAAATTAATGTATCTTGGAAATTCCTGCTGCACGACCACGAGGTTAGTGAAGATCCACTTTACTTGAATCGGTGTTCAATTTCCAAGTGGTTCAACTCGGCTAAAGTGACAAAAATGAGACGGGGAAAGGGTCTTTTTGGAAACAAGAGCCGTCGCCTGTCGAAAACCCCTATGACGACGACAGACACTCTTCTTGATCCCCACTTTGCGCATTCATTTGCTCGAGCAGACTGTCTCAGCCAGTTTACCGGCTCGTGAGACAGCGACCACCGACAGTTTGAGAGATGTAGGAATGCTTCAGTAAATTTATACAAAGTGGAAAATCATAAAAATTTAAAAATTCGATGACAGGGGCCGTCACCTTGCATAACTTGCCTTCAACTATAATCAGGAAATTACACAACCAAGGAGAAAATCCCAAATTCTTATAGGCTGTCAACTACAATCGGTGTTTTCTCCGTGCTCTAAATTTCGGTGAATTTCTTGGCAAACAGAATTTGCATTTTTTCGCATTACACACGCATGCATATTTCTTGTATATACCTTCCTTTGGGGTACAATGAACCAATACAAACACGGTTTCTTTCAGCAAAGTAATTCAATCTGCTTTTCTTCCGCTCTGTGCATTGGAAAAGTATTAAAAATGAAACCAATCAAACATGCCACCCGCAGTTTTTCACGCTCGTTTCCTCTTTGAAATGGCAAGATGAAAAGGATGGGACCGCTCGCTGCTGAAGCTTCAAATATGCAAATATGAACGTAGACCACATAAACTGCGCGATCTGACCAGGATATCGTCTTGGAATAAAATGGCAAACTATGTACTAATCCTAGAATTTCTCATGACTCATCACTTGCATATACTTACTAATATAAATACGTATAAGTATAAGTCTAACGATTTGTGCACGTGTTGAGCAGCCTCGCCTTCCAGGTCAGCATACGTACATAGGCTTGACACAAGCTGAGTCTGCCACTTTGACCTAATAATGATAAATACTTAATGGATGGTCAATGAATTATGCACACATGCACAAACATTTAAACAAAGTTGCATCTTATTTATTTGCAAAAAATGCATCATGAAAATGTGTATGTAATATGTCACTGTATGGTTTTGATATAATATGTACGTACGAATTACAAATTGTAACTCTGAATGAAATTTTACATAGTATGTAAGTGATGCCCCCTAATGATTGCTTGCTGCCAAAATTAATATGCCGTGTCAATGTAAATGGGATTCTATTACAAATGTACCGAATTTATTGCATTATTAGACTAAATAGCCGAATTTGAGATGATGGTTTGCGATTCACCAGTTAATCTTGGCTATATTAAATTTTCCCATAAGCAATAATACTTACATACACACCACTACATGGATGAAGGCTATATTATTATATTAATGTGGAGCCAAAGCTGGCTTTACAAACTGTACTTTGAGCTTTAGTGGTTCGTGAATTATCTTGTCCGGATCCAACATTCACTGCAAGAAATTCTGCGCCAGCTAAGCTACTTAAATACCACACAATGGGACAATAATGAGAATGTATAACCGCAATGTTACCCGCTTTGTGGTTGGTGTGATAACAGAAATGTTTAAAAGAAAATCCTTAAAGCTAGACATCTCACCTAATTATTCATGTAATATTGCAACAATATCTGCATGATATCGTCTGTGCGGGAAGACTTTGCATAAATTATTTACATGTCTATGCACATTGTATACGTATATATACATGACGTATTACGTGCACATGTCTGTACAAATGTATGCAAAAGTTAGCCAAGCCAATGAACCAGCGAATTTTCCCCAAAAATCTTCAGGAACAATAATTGTGTGTCTAGTACTCTAAGCAGTTATATAAACGGTTCCTGTAACTTATCCCGGTTAATGTCTTTGAGTATCTAATACTTCACTGTGTAGTTTGACTGCACAAACTTTGTGTCAGCCAAAAAATAAGATGTCACAGTTTTGCAATGAGTTGAAATAAACTACACAGCAGTTTATGTCTAAAGAGCATCAAAGGTACTTGAGGTCGACATTGTAATGTCACTTGATGTATTGCAAGCATTAGCGTTTGCTTTCTGGATCAAGAAATCCATTACTCGCAACAAATTTCCTCCCTTTTCCTCCCGTTCTCTTGTCTCAAAAAATTAATAAGGATTACGTGTAGGGTTAATAATTCACAAACCCCTCCTTTGTCCTCGACATGGTTATTTATGAGCAGTTAAATTGCCTATTTTTTCCATATTTCACGTGGAATATTTTATCTCCTTTTGTGCAGACCAACGTTTACGACTTTTACATT